GAGCAAAATAAGTCAATCAAAGGAAGACAATTATTATATGATCTCTCTGATATGAGGAAATTGAGAGGCAGGGCCAGGGATCATGGGGGGAAGGGAGGAAAAATGAAAGAAGATGGGATTGAGAGGGAGACAAACCATAAGAAACTCTTAATCTCGGGAAATAAACTGAGGGTTGCTGGGGGGTTGGAAGGAGGGATAGGGTGGCTGGGTGATGTATACTGGGGAGGGCATGTGCTATGGTGAGTGCTGTGAAGTGTGTAAGACTGACAGTTCACAGACCTGTACCCTTGGGGCAAATAATACATTATATGTTAATAAAGAAAAAATTTTTTTTAATTCAAAAAAGGGAATGACATTCTGACAGAGGCTACAACATGGATGAACCCCGAAAACATATTGTTAGTGAGATAAGCCAGACACAACAGGACAGATACTGTGTGATTCACTTGTATGAAGTGCCTAGAATGGTCAGATTCACAGGGACAGTAAAAAAGTAGTTATAGGGGGCCAAGGGGAGGGGGGAATGGGGAGTTTGTGTTTAATGGAGTCAGTTTTAGTTTGGGGTGGTGAAAACGTTCTCGAATGGATGGTGAGGGCGGTGGGACAACACTGAGAATTTATGGAATGCCACTGAGCTATGCACTTAAAAAATGGTTAAAATGGTAACTATCAGGTATGTCCATTTCTTTCTCTTTCTCTCCAAGCCCACACTTGCAGGCGCACGCGCGCACACACACACACACACACACACACAGAGCACACACACCCCAACTCTGTTAAGAATGATGGCCCAGCTCTTATGACTAATGGGTATGACCTTTGGCGTGTAACCTTTGTGTTACCCTCGTGCATAGCAGGGGCTGAAATTACTTCTTAGTTCTTAGTTGTGTTTAGAATCATCATAATTACTAAACAGAGTGTTAATGGACTTTGCGGTCATAAAGACTTTTCATCCACCAATTACAATCCTGGTGACAAACGAGTGCTCTTCGTTTCCACGTCAACATTATAAATAATCGCAGGTACGACTGAGGCAGAGAAAGGAAAGAGCTTTCTCCTCTTCATGCTGGACAGGAGAGAGCCCATCCTGGGCACAGAATCCAAATGTACCCCCCTCTTGTCCCAAGATCAGTTGCTACCACTAAGAGGTCACACAGAAAGCCATTAAAAAACAAAGGTCCTAATTATCTCAAGTCCTTGAGATTTTAAGAATTTGTAAAAATACATAAAGCAGACTTTTAAACATTATCATGTTGGGTTATAGCTTATAAATTAAACACTTTAATTATATTGGACCCACATTTTTAAAGCAGGCTAGTCCCCAGAAGAGAGCGGAAATAGCTAGTGGGGTATTCAGTTCAGCAAACACAGATCCCAGGGTTTGGGGAGCCTGGTTTTGAACTCTGTCTCAATAAATAAAAGGTTACTATTGTCCCTCTGCCTGAATAATAATTTCCCTTCCTTTTTTGCTTCCTTATGAAATACCATGAAGTTCTACTCTAAAAATTATAACGTGTTGTGCCTGGGAGACACATTTAATTTAATTTTTTATTTACATATGCTTTCTTAAACAAACCCCTTCAAACAATTTTTTGTTTTTATTTTATGCCTTCTGAATTTGAGTTACTCATTTAGCACATGAACTTAAGTTAACTAGTCAACCGATACTGTTTAATAACACGAAGAGATACAGAAATTAATAAGAAAGCAAGGAAAAACAGAGATACGTTTAATAAGGAGCCTCATAAGAGTTTCCTATCTTGTCAGGTCTTAGTGTTTAGGTTTCTTTTAAGAAAGTCGTTTCCTGGCCCACTCCAAAACTCCCTGAACCCTGCAGAGGAGCCCAGCAGCATCCTGTTCAAATGTTATTGTGGAAACACTGTGCTGTTCTAGGTCAAATGTATCCAAATTAAACCAAGGGAGATGGAAACAACTCTCCCTTGATACACCGTGGTGGCTGAAAGTGGGTTTGTTTATGAGTAGAATAAAATTTACAGCTAAATATAAAAAAAGGGATACATCATCATCTTGTAAGCTTGAGTAACATGTCATTCCACCTCTGGACTCTGGAAAAAAACACTAAGGTCATGCCTAAAATAAGACAGCAGAGGGCTGAGGATGACACAAGAGGTAAAACCACAGACTTTTCCCACCTCCTGATTAAGGCATCAGGTAGGTTACAATTGGACAGTGAGGTCATTTCTCTTGAACCAGGAACGCACTGCAGATTTGTTATTCCAACACACACACGCTGACCCCTGAGACAGCTTCGGAATCAGGTGTCTGGTCTCCAGTATGAAGCGGTGATTACTACTTATTTTTCAAAAGCTATTTACACAGACTGTTGGAGCCAAAGAGGAGAGAGACAGAAACAAAATGTTTCTTTTTTTTTTTTTCAACTATGAAAGAACTTTTAAAAGTTCGTGTTATGAAAGATTTCACCTCCTCGTTACTAAAATAAAGATGACTAATTGGCTTCCTAAGGAAACATAAAAGAAACCAAAAAGTCACATGCAGCCAAGTGTTAGTTTTTAATAGGTTTCTATTTTACATTTAAAAAAAAAAATTCCTGAAGTTTTAGAGGATATCCATAACCGCTTGGATTGCCTAAAAAAGGATCTGGTTTTGCCTCTTTCTGGGGAAAATTCCTTGATTTTGCAAACCTCTGCTTCCTCAATCTGTAATTCCACTTCCTACCCTCAGAAGAGGTTATGGGGGTTGAATTATCAATTATCTCCTATCCATTGCAGCGCTAAGCCCAGAGTCTGGCATGTGGTGGGGTGAAATCAGTTCCTTCCTTCCTCCTGGCTTTCCGTGACTGGGGCCATTGAACAACGTTGTGATACATGGAAATGTGGGAAATGAAAAGACCAGTAGGGGTAAGGGGGGAAAACGTTCCAAACATTTTGGCCAAAATTGAAAGTCTTCTCTAACTCTCTATTGTGCATGTAACCCCCCCACCCCCACCCTTGAACTGACACACGGGCTGTGTTATACTAAGGTAGAACATTGTGTTTTCAGCCATTTACCCTCCTCTGTGTAATGTGCGGTACCACTAGAGGAACCCCAGGACTCCCACAAGAGTTAATGAGGCCCATCGACACTCTCGTATCAGTCTGTCCCCTTTCTGCTATATTGTAGTCCCTTATATGGTGAATGATTTGCCTGCTTACTGTGCTATCTTCCACACTGGATTCACGAGAGGGTCGAGGGACAGCTCTTGACTGCCACGTTTTCTGCTACAACTCCAGCGCTCTTCTCAGTGTTTGCTGAATAAATGAGGTTGAACTAACATAGCCACATGCCCTTTAGACGCTCCGGGAGCTTGCTGATGAAGGCTCCATCGCTTTTTAAATTCAGAAACCGCTTTCATCGCCAAGTTTATGTTGCTTACCTAAAGAGGCCAATCTTAGGAGTTAACAAAAACGCGGATTGCTGGTTAGATGCCAAACAAGCGAAGTGACTGTCTACATTCATATAACTACCTGCCCTGCTGTGCCCCAGAACCCTCATGCTGAGTTTCGAGAACTCTTCCGTCCCTCACACCACTGTCCCCTTGGAGGAGTTGCCTGCTCAGTCCCGCCCAGCTCCCAAGCACAGCCGCGGCATCGTGAGCGGACGTGTGGGCCTCACAAGGCAAGAGGTCAGGTGCCCCTCTGCTCATCCCATAAACACGAAGCCCCCTTCAAAAGCCAAATCGAAAGGGGGAGGGTGGAAAGAAACCTGAAACAAAAGACTACATTTTAATTTCCTTGACATTTTTTTTTTGAGGTAAAAGGCAGCAGAGGATACTACTTTTCAAAATTAGATATACTAGATTAAGTTTCTGTTGAGGAATCTGGTGTCCTTGTGAAAACAGACCCTGAGAAGCAGCACAGTGTAAGGACAGAACCACTGGATTCTGAGTCTGGGAATGAGTACCAGCTCCTCTGGCCTTACTGGCTCCCCAGCAACTCCCCAGAACTTTCTCTTTGCATGGGAACAAAGAGAAGACAAAAAGGGTGTGGGCGGAGAAAGTGGGAATATAACACCTGCCTGGTCTAGGGTTGCCATGAAGACCAAAGGGGCCAACAGACACAAAATTCCCTTGGAAACTTTAAAATCCTCAGTCGAGGGGCACTTGGGTGGCTCAGTGGGTTAAGCCTCTGCTTTCAGCTCAGGTCATGATCGAGCCCCGCGTCGGACTCTCTGCTCAGCTGGGAGCCTGCTTCCCCCTCTCTCTCTGCCTACCTCTCTGCCTACTTGTGATCTCAGTCAAATAAAAAAATAAAATCTTTAAAATCCTCCGTCAAGGTGAGATCCCACTCTTGAGATTTTTTTCATGCGGAGGAAGATTCTATGAAAACTGCTTCTCAAAACTGAATTATTTCTTTCTTCAAATACAGTTTTGTTAACTGATTATTAATGACGATTTATTACAAGGAGACTCCTAACAAAATAAAATTTCCAGTCAGGCAGGGTTAACTGAAACAAATGGGAAATAAGAAAAACATATATTTTCATGTATCTACTACGACGAGGACCATATTCTTTTCAAAACGATTATGGAAAAAGAGCACTGTAATTGAAGGAGAAATGAGCCATGTTCTGAAGCATTCAGCCCATCACTCTATCTTCCTAAATAAAAATCTGTCCGTTCTAGTCCTAATCACTGCTGAAAGCTATCAGCTTCTTGCTGTCCCTACTACCATTCGTCCAGGTCAGGTACAGGTCTCTAGCTCATTTGCTGAGCTAGCTTCTCCCTGTCTCATTCACGGCAGGACCTTTCTAGAATAAACCCTTCCATGGTGCAACTCCCGCATTGCCTTTTCTGATCTGCCCCCTTGCACTCCTCCCTCCCTCCAGCCCAGCTGGACTCCTAGTTGCCAACAGCCACCCACCCCCACCTTTGTCCCCCAGCTTCTTCCCACTGGCCACACTTCTCTCCTCCTTCCCACGTGTCTAGGTTAGCTCCGGCTCCTCCTTCAGGCTCCAGCCTCCTCTTCTGGGAAGATTTCCTGGACTCTAATAAGTGCCCCTGCTGTGGTTGTCTATCTTCTCTCCTGGCTCTCTCGAGGCTCCACATCATCGGGGTGATGATCTCCACCCCGCAAACTGGGAGCGCTCCCACTTTCCCAGCGCCTGGCCTAACCACGTGCTCCATTAAAAAAAAAAAAAAAAAAAGTGGAACAAATGAATAAATGATCCCTTGTTCTGTTTGCTTTCATTGTATCATTCAACATAAAATGGAACAAAACAAAACACCCCAGTTATTCTCTAGAAAATACAGAAATGCCCCTGGGTCCGACATCGTAAGAATGCGGACATCCTTTTCAGTACCGTGCTGAGTCAAACAGGTAGCGAGGTCTGAAGGAAGAGTCAAGGGTCTCAACTCATTAAGTTTCCCCCAAGTCCCCACATTTTAAAAGCACTAATTTCCTCCTTGGTCATGCCCTTTCAATATTCCTTCCAAAGGTATTTTCAGTTTCCATTTGACATGTACTTGCATCAGTTAATTTTTAATTGAGCCAAATATTAAATGCTCACATTAACCAGACAAAGCGTGTTTAGCTACTGATTTGCAGTGACAGCTGGTGTTATTCTCACACACAGGCCAAGCATGAAATAGAAAACTAATAACCCCTTAAGTGTGTTCTCAAAGTATCATTTATGGGAAAGAAGACGACTTTCAAAGGAGACTTGTGCAATGGCTGTCATTTTTTTTCCCCGAGCCACAAGCTGTTACAAAGCAGGGAAGCTCATTTTCTCACGGATGCGGACAAGCTCAAGAATCCCACTGTCACTCGATGTGTTCATTAAGAAGGAATCTGGCAGCAGCACGGGGGACAGATCCTTGGGAGAACAGGCCAATTATCTGGGTGTCCTTTATAATTTGAAGTTTCTGAATTCACTCATAGATAAGCCACTTGAAGAGGGTCTGGCAATGGTAACGTAATGCACAGATGGTCACTAAAGAAACGAGAGGGGGGAGGGGAGGGAGGAGAGAATTTGCTTGTGGTTTCATTCATGGGGACAAATCTGCAAGCTGACACATCCTTCTTTTTAAAAAGCCCCTGGAGAAGTATGGTCAAGCTTCATTACAAGTAAACAAATCATACGATCTTTCTCAAACAGATGACAAAGGGTGAGCAGTAACACTTTGAGTTTGCTTCATGCCAAGGGATGAGGGTTCTGAAAATGCAAAATTCCGCCAGTTCTTAAAACCACAGAGAGGCAGTGATTCCGGCTTCAAGCAATACAGAGCATTGAGTCCAAAGCTGCCAGGCCAGTGGTTTTTATCCAGGACGCCCCCGGTGGTCTTCTTGCTGGTCAGTGTCTGGAGAGGTAAAATCTTAGGCTCTCTCACCTCTGGGAACACTGAGCTCCGCTGACTGCCACCTTTGACGGTGGCTTGTTTTCGTGGGAGAAGAACTAAGGGCTCGTTTATCGCTGTGACTTCTATGCTGTAGTTCTTTTATACTGGAGCTACGACACTAATTAGGGGAGGGAGGAAACCACCTTGTTCCCACTGTGAGAACCCTGCACGAGCCCTGATTTCTTTAATGATAAGGAGATGAAAATCTCAGCCATTAAAGCTTCTCCTGGGCTTGAGATTTGAACCATGGGACTGAGAGTAGCTAAGCACATATGTAGAGGCTGTGTGCCCTCTTTGTATAAACAGATCTAGTGTATAATATTAGCAGTCTAGTGTCTAATATTAGCATTAAAGACTTCTATTGAAGTTGAATATTTAATGTAGATTATTTTCAATTTAAATTTTAAAATACATTTAATGTAAATCCAGACTTCTCTTCAAGTATGAATGACAGAATTTTTCAATTCAGTGATAAGTAATGAAATCAAAATACTCCACAGGTGTTTTCCTTTTTCTCATTTCTATTAAATCTGTGACGTGGGGACATTTGGAACACAGACACACTCTACAGTTAAGGAAAGTAGGAGAACATTAGTTGGTTGGGATGAGTTAGATGCTCAAAGTGCCCCTTCCATAATCTTTTATTCATTCATTCATTCATTCATTCATTCATTCATTCAATAAACAACCATTGTACATACCTACGATCTACTCTGCTAGGTGCCGGTTAAATAGGATAAGAGAAATATTTTTCTAAGTAACAAAGTACCAATGAAGGAGAACATTTTGATTGTATAAGATCTGCACAAATGGGGATTATTATTAGGATATTGGGACAACATTAATATGACTCAAGTTGAATTACTGTTTAAGTAAACTGGTAGTGGAAAGCCAAGCCCACATTAATCACCTCCATCCAATCCACAGAAGTCTGTAGAGGACTTTTGGGGAAAAGCAGTATAGAATCAGCAGGGGCAGTTAGGACCACTTCTGGAAATGCAGGAAGGAAATGGGAAATCTACCTGGCTTGGGGGTAAAAAAGCATATCGTAGCCTTGCCCCAGATGCTCTCTTGAGCTCCAGATCCTCAAGGCTAACTGCTAATGGGCATCTCCACTTGGATATCCTACTGGAAACTCAAGCTGAAAATGTCCAAAATTAACTTCATCACATTTACCCCCACAAAACAGCAACTGTTCTTATCTTTCCTCTTTCTCTTGAGGACAATAACACTTTTTGAATGAGCTGGGTTTCAGACTTGAGTCTTCTGCTTCTGCAACCTGCTGTAAGTCCTTTGCTTTCCCTTCAGCACTGCCCCCCACATCTGCCCCATCTTTTCCATTCCCCACTCTGCCACCATGGTTCAAACCCCTTACCTGGTCTCTCACTGTCCAGCAATGTTCTGCAAGCCCACATGTCCTGCCTTGCCTCAGAACCCTTTTGATACTCATTTTAATGTCTACCAAGTTTATTTAAACTTCACCAAATTTATTTAAATGTCTCAACTTAGGACCCAGTCATATCTCATGAGAGAGCTCTGCGTCCCAACCAAGTCAGACTCTTTACTATTTGCAATATTGTCCAATTAGGCTTCATCCATTCCTGTCTGCTCTGACTTCTCCAGCCCAGTTATCTAAAATGCCTCCTCCCCATACCTCTATTGATCACCTCCTGCATGAAACTCCTCCAGGTCCCCTTCCAGCTGGACCAGATCTCTCCATCCATTAGAGAGTGGCAAAGATTACAGCAACTTACATCTTTTTAGGCAAGTTCCTTGAAGGCAAAGTTGATCTTACACATTTTTTTACTCAACTAAAACACCTGGCATAGAGCCTTGCACATAGCAGACCCTCAGTTAACGGGTTTTCAATGAAAAAAAAAAAAATTAACATGTATGATATGCGAAATCACAAGAGCTTCATTACTCTTTTCTTTTCCATCCCTGACTTTTGTGAGTTAAATTCTGTGAACGATTGCTCATTTGTTTTGATAAGAGTTCTTCATACTCTTTTCTTCTTATACTGTTACTTTAATATTTAGTAAGTGGCTCTGCCTCACTATACTTACAATTTTGTTATTACAAAAACTCAAAACCACTTCTAAAAGCATTCAGTTTTAAAATGAAAGAGAGAGAGATGCTAGCAGGAATTCATAAGGGAAATGACTAGGGGGTAGCCCTGAAATTTTAGACTCAGAAGTGCCAAAGGGCATCATTTATGGGCTTGCCTTTTTTTTTTTTCCTTAAGTAGAATGAAATATCAATCTCTGAAGCTGAGGATATAACTTACAGTTAACTTTATTCCTATTCTAATTGCGAGAGGGTAATACATACAGCAAATAGGGAGTGAATGAAGAGGACTAAGTATCTGTTCCAGATTCTTCTGGAAAATTCAAATGCACCTGAGTGGCCTGGGCTGCAGTTCGATTTCAGGGTCACTACACAGACACAACATTCACGGTGCTGCAAGCTAAAGCCATCTTCGTCCTCTGCCCAGAAGCGGTGGACATAGTCAAGAAGAGACAGCCTGCAACACTGATCCTTTGTTCGGTGCTCCAAGCATTAAAAGTCGCAAAGTCCCGATACTTCCGCAGCTTAAGAAAAGATAGTTAAAAAGAGAGAAATACAGTAATTGGAACTGTCACGAGAAAGCTGTACTGGCCTCAATGGAAAATCTCCCTTGAAATATTAAAGCTTCACTTGACGTCGTGGGTCCTCGGGTTGTTTTCAGGAGGCATAGTAAAAGAGGAGAGTGGGGTCAGTCATAAGCTTCTGACTCATTATGTGGAAGCCCCAGAGAGCCGATGAGCTGATTATTAACTAAAAATGGAATATGGCTCTATCCCTGACATTCTGAAGGCAAAACAAGGAGCAGGATGAAAACACAGATTTTCCAAACAGTTTCCCAGGGAAGTGCGTGTTCCATGTGTCACGGGGAAGAGAGGTCCCCATTCTGTCGAGAAGTTTCTCACCGAATCCTGTCAATCCCCCAAGAAAAATCACCCAAGTAGCTCTCAGTACATCGCTACAAAGAGTCACCCCAGCATGGCAGGGACGTTCCCTTTCAAACACGTTTAAGGGGCGGGTGGGGAAGTGGTCTTGAGTAGAAGCTATTTTAATTAAGTTAGTCAAAACTTCTCTATGGCCAGGGAATAACCCCTCTTATCTCACACTGCAGAGATCCGAGCAAGCGAAAGTTCTGCTGGCGGATTCTATCTCCCCCCACTCCCCAGAGCGGCTGGAATTCACCATCTCTAAGGGAAAAGCGTCACCTTCTGTGGACAGAATTGTGCCTTGCCCTGCTGCCGGCAGCAAGACTGAAGTCGAGGTTATATTCTAGCTCTGGCCACAGCCCTCTTCAGATCCCTCTTGCTGGAATGCAGGCAGAACATTCTTTGCTTCAGGTGACTCCTACCCTGCGTGTGTCAGGAAGGCACAGGAGCTACATCCTGGAGGCTTCCCAGCGGTGGGATGATGGGCAGCTAGGGGACAGTCATGGGGCAGGGTCCCCATGAGAAAGAGCTAGAAACAATCATGCAATCATGATTCTTACTGAAGGACAGCTGTCTGTCCTTCTGTTGTCTGGCAAGTAAAAAGCAGAGAAACAATGTCAGCACTACGGAGTTGAGCATATATCAGAACAAACTGGTGAAGGAAAAAGGCTTGGTTGTAATTTCAAAAGTTTTACCATCTTCCATCTAAAGAAGGAGGACCACGAGTGCAAGCAGTTAGACAGTACAAGACCTGCCTTTCGGGAACACAAATGCTACAGTGGACTAGAAATTTCTATAAACAGATTTTGGAAGAGAAGCCTCTTAATAAAGGGAAGAGTACTATAACCTACAACAAAAGAAAACAAAAGCTTTTTTTTTTTTTTAATCTCTGCCAAAGGAAGAGCCCATGTTCTGTTCAAAATCAACTTGTATTTTTCTGCATACAAGGATGATTTAAGAGAGGCAGTTCTTCAAATTAAGTTAGTCTAATCACCCTATTCAAAGCCTTGATTGTCTTTTAAATACAAAGAATTACTGAAACACCTTAAAAATTGAAGACAGGTGTTTATTAAGTCTTCTTAATGTGTATTAAGGGTGTTTAATGGGTAAATATTTAACAAGGGAACTCCCCTGGCCTTTCAGTTCTCTTAAGTATGTGTTTGTATTGTACAGTGTTTTTTAAATTACGTACATTTCTCCTCCTATTTAAATCAGACCTAATGCACACATGAACAGCCATATGGTTAGAAGTAACTTTTTTAGACAAAGATAGAAGTGTATGCAAAATAATACATACTTGGGTTTTTTTTTTTTCTTTTCTCTCTAAATCTGAGCCTCTAGGATCATGCTAATAGGGTTGCATGTAACTATGAGTTCACTTAGACACCTATGACACAAGCCCGTGAGGTCACCCAACGCAGGGGTAAAAGCTGTGTCCCCAACCTAACCCAGGACCAGGTACATAAAGACTGGCAATCACGTCTGTCAAAAAGCTGTCTCAGTCCTTGGACGATTTTCATCATTAATCCTCTTTCTATGTCAAGCACTAACACTGTTTGAATCAAACCAAGAAGAATGAAAAAGAAAAGCTTCCTAGTGAAATAAATTCATGTAGTGGTCTCCTGTATGTAGCTGGGGGAAGGGGTGACCAGTTTGCAAGGTTACAGCTATGACTGAATAAGGTGATGATATTAGATTACCTTAAAAAGGTTTAACAGAACCTTTGAACCTCAAATACAATCTATCTCAGGGCGGGGGGTGGGGAACCTTTCTACTTGTACACGACAAAGACAGTGTTGTTTTTCTAGCACAATTGCACTTGGGCTGAGATACTGCTTTGCGTGACTATTGCTAAGACACGATGAGCGACCTCAGAAATGGGCATGGGGACAGCTGAGCAGGACCACTAGTCATACACACAGCACCCATACACCTGCTTTCTGAGTGAGTTTACTCTTCGTCCAAAAAAACAACTAGGACTAGAAGCAAAGATAAGGAAAAACTCTGAGAGCTTGCTTTTAAAAACAACAACAACTTGTGGCTTTCTGTTACCTGGCGTTCTGTGCATTTAAACAATCTGAAATGTACCAGGTCAATTAAGGACTGTTAAAAAGATCAATCAGTTCTCACTAGAAAGCACAGCTCAAAGTAACAGGACACACAAAAGAAAGCCATGTTTGCAACAGACATTGAACAGCAAGGAAAGCCCTAGGACAGAAAAGTGAACTAAGTGAACTATAAAATTTTACAAAGGTCCACAAATACAATCACTGAACAGCATGTGACTTGCAAACTCCAGGGGCAACCACGTAGTTTTTTTCCTACAGAATAAATTATTGCAGGGAGTCACGTGATCCTTAGGAGGGAGAAAGATGCACTTTCCCAAGGAAAGTTCATCATTAAATATCCTCCTTGAGACTAGACCATCTTCAGACTATTTTTAATCCCTATCATTTCGCTGCCAAAATTGGCCATAAGCAGCTGATACTTGGCTGCCAGGAAAATGATGCTTTTTCACTTATTTCCTACACTGGCATGAGAATGGCATTGCTTTCTAGTTAATCAAGTGTTTTGGTGGATCTGGACTGCCAACAGAAGATAGAAACTGCTTGCCGACCAACTAATAAAAAGGAAGCTAACCTCTACTGGATGTGGAGAAGTAAGTTCCTGTCTTCCTAAACCACAAAGACCAAAAGACCAAAAAAAAAAAAAAAAAAAGGGAAAAGAAAAGTCACGCCACCATCTCATCAACAGAATGAAGCTAATCTCCCATTTAAGCCTTCTCTTTCTTTTAGTAGCCCACACCTCACTCTCTTATGAGACATGAAGCTGAATGTTCTCGGCCTGGAGGGAGCTATCAACCTCAATAATGGTCAAAGTGCCCTTATCTCGACACTTCCCCTCCAAGAGCCCCTTCACCTTGAAGCAATCTTAGTCAACGCATCTACAGAACTCAAACCAGGCGGTAAAATAATAACTAATGGAGCTATCAAAAGACAGAAATCCCCTGTCTGTAACTGGAATAGAAGGGCTGTGTTACTTACTTTATTGGGATCAATAATGCCAATGCAAACTGTATAGCTACCATGAAAAACATTCTTGAGAAGATGGGAGCTTACGATAATTTATCTCCTCTCTTTCATTCCAGGGTATCTCATCCAAGGACCAGATCACACTAGTGGACATCTGGGAAATACTCAGTATTCTAGGTAATACTAGAAACCCGGGAGGCTGCTGGAATGGGACAGTGGAGGACCCATCCCACACTGTCATTCTTCCTAAAAGATGGCCCCAGGAACCAATGGTAGATAATAATCAACATCTCTAATTTTTATGTGCATTTGACAACGTGGATCTCACAAGAACCACAGGTTCAGACTCATTGGCTATGGGGTGGAACCTGAGAAGCTGCATCTCTGAGAAGCTCCCAGGTGATGGTCTGTGAACCCCACTGGAGTAGCAGGGTCTCAGACATTTCCTAGAACTAATGGTGTCTTGTACTCCCTCTGTCCTGCTTCTCTCACAATGTCTTATTCAAACTTAGGAATAAAGCTACAGTCTGTTTTAACCCAATTTCTTCTTTAGTCTTTATTTAATTTGTAAGCTTCTGGGGCTATGTCTCAGTCGCCTTTCCTCCCAAGACACTTTCTCCAAGCTATGGAATGCAGAATACGAACAGTTTTCCTTAACCTCAGAAGGCTGATTTTGCATCAACAGCAGCAAAGAAAAAAAGTGACTTCGGATCTGAAATGCCCATTATTCTACGTGCAGTCTGATCCACTGAGTCCTAGAAGCCACACAAGTCATTATCAAAAGTCGGAATAATGTACTAGCTCTCTTCTGACATTTGACAATGGGCATTCTGAGTACTTTACACTGTAAGACACAATACAGTATTAAGGGCGCAACTCTGATTGGTACAAATTTTGGCGGGGGGGTGTGGTGGAAAAATCTGTCTGTTTACCATATGCCTAAACCAGACATTTAGTTAGTCATGCCCATTTGAAAGGATAGGTAAATCATTTGTAACTCTCAAATACTACCACTTTGATTCCAAAGTATCCACTTATGATTACATTTCCTGATACCTGCTTTTTTTGGCCAAATTCCTTTGTTTTCCTATACAGTCATCCATCAACATGTTGTTCTGAAAACGACACATTTTACCATCGGCTACTTGTGCCTCTATATGATTTATGTTTACTCTGAAAGGTTTTGTCAAAAAAACTTTTTTTATCATGTTCTACGGTATGTCATTGTGGTTTGGCATCATAAAATACAGCCTCAACGTTTATCAATCTCGGATACCTGTTGACCAGAGAGACAGGCTCTACTATGAAGACTCTATTTTGAAAGGAGTTAAAAGTGAGCCTTTACTTAAAAGGTAAACTCAACTGCATGAGATGTTAACATAGTAAAATGCAACAAAACAAAGGCCAAGGTTCTATATTAATTTCTATCATAAGCATGTCTGTTGCCTAGCTTTTCATTAAATTTCTTAACAGATGAGAGTTAGTACCTTGGATTTCTTTCAACTAGAAAGAAAATTTTGAAATTTTTTTTCATAAAAATATGAACTGTCAACTTAAGTTTTACGTTGGTTTTAAAAAGATCCTTTTGGGAGTCTGGAACTCTCTACCTTTTTGGTTATGGTGGTTAAAAATAAAACCACCTACTTAACCAAACTTTTAACAAAAATATCCTTCTACCCTTTAGTAAATTCTTCCAGAATTACTAAAGATCTGACAATATAGGATCTTGAAAAGACAATTCACAAGGAGCATTTTAATTGTTAGAAATTTAAATGGGGATATTTTCCTTTTAAACACTGAAAGTGGCATCAGAATTTTGTCAACTTTGATCAAATAGGATCAGATTTTCATGTCAGCCATCTACTTTCTTGGCTTTTTCTCTTTTTTCTTGGCCTTAATATTAGCATGCTTGTAAACTGTAGTAAAATATGTAATGTGCTTCTTGAAATTGAATCCATTTGTAATAATTTTTAGGCTTTGTGGTCCTGTTAGGTCCTATAAAATAATAACATCAGTAATTCTCCCTAGAGACAATACAAGGAAGAACTGCATTGCATCCTTTTTCAGAAAGAATTCTTCACCTTAAAACAAAAAGTCTGAAAAAATTTCAGACAAGATTTCTCTTTTACTTTTCCACAAATTGGTAATTTTACATATAAGATGCAGATCTCAATTACAATTCTTCAGTCTTAGGATCTGGATGCCCTCCCCCAAAGAATCATACAAAACAATACCTTTATAATAACATGATGAAAGCTCTATCTAGCACCAGAAAAAAAATCACCACGCAGACGTTCTCCAAAGCTACAGGCATCGATCAGTACAACTAACCTCAAAGCATGACAGCATCCACAGCTGAGAATTAACGTGTCTACGCTTTCTACGGATACTGTAGATGCAAGTTTTTCCAGCAAAGACCACCAAATGATGTGGACTCTAGGTGGCGAAAAGTAAAAGATACTAAAATTACAGTAAACTTTAAAGTCATACACCCGGTACAGAAATAGAATGCAAAGTATGCAACCAGAACAAATTATGTCACTGATGAGATAAAGTATCCATGGCCCAATGTTCTTCAAGACACTCAGTCATGCCCACTGGGAACCATGTGGCACACGCCACAGGATGGAGTTTGTGCACTTTCCAAAAGTCAACTTACCTCTTTACAAACACATCTAGGTTATCCAGGGAAAGCGGGCTACACTGGATTTCCTCTTAGGGAAGATCTTAGCAAGTGAGTCAGAAAAGGCATGACCTTGGTCTTCTGGTGGAGTCTGTTCTTCTAACTGGGTAGTTCCCAAATTGTAGTACAAATAAATTCCCAGGGGAACTTGTCTAACACGCGGGTTGCCAACCCAACCTGGAGTCTAGGTCATGAGTTGTCGGTGGTTGGGGGTGGGGGGAGGATCTCTGGACCCCCCAGTCTAAGAAACCCTGAAAGGATACCATTTATCCCGAGATCCCACTGGATAGCAAATGCTGGATCTTTAACCCTCCAAAGCTGGCAAGCAAGGAAAACACTTTTGGCCAGAATGAATCATCAACAATAGGTCTGGCAGCGGGACCTTCATGGGGGGCGGGGGTAGGGTGAGGGAAGCAGGCACCCTGATTTTATTTCCCTGGCTCATCAGCCTGCCCTTGGCCCAGGAGCCCACCCACACTCCAACCACGGATTCTCAGCCCCCGACTGGAAATGTCCAGCCCAGACGCACACTCAAGCAGACGTGCACCTACCCAGCCTCCGTTGTCCTGGATCCAGGTGTGCAAGTGCCGGTTCAGGTACTCAGTCATCCATAGGGCGATGTTGTCCACCAGGGGCGACATCTCCCGGTTGACGCTCTCCACACACATGACCCCACCGAACTCAAAGAAGGCCACAATCCTCCCCCAGTTCACCCCATCCCTGAAGAGCTCCTCCACCACCGTGGCAAAGCGTCCCCTCGCGGTGAAGGGTGTCAGGTGCAGCTGGCTGGACATCTCTGCGAAGTCGCGGCGGTAGCGACGGGAGAAGTCGTCGCCGGCCTGGCGCAGGGTCAGGTGGACCACAGGTGGCACGGGGCTGAGCGTAGGGCCCGCGGCCGCAGCGGCGGCGAGGGCGGCGGGGGGCGGGGGCGGCGAGGTCCTGGCGGGCGCGGGGGTGCGCCCGGGCTGGGAGGAGAAGATGCCCGGCGCGGGGGCGGCCCCCGGGGGCGCGGCGCCCGAGTCTCCGGCATCCCACTCGTAGCCCCTCTGCGACAGCTTATAGTGGATGTACTTCATCACTATCTCCCGGTTATCATACCCTGTTCTCCCAGCGTGCGCCATCCTTCCCCCGAGGAAAAGCAGCCGGGTACCAGCAGCACCTCTCGCCCCTGCTCCCGCCCCACGGCCCCGAAAGAAAGAATAGTTATAATCCAGCTATTTTATTGGATGTGCTTCGCATTCTTGGATGAGGGGGTGTCTTCAGTCACGCGGAACACTTGATTCTGGTGTTTCCCTCTTGGCATGAGATGCAGGAAATTTTTACTGAAATTCCTTTCGGATCTTTATTTCATGAGGCACATTATTATTAATTATTGTTAATATCAGTCTACTTCCTCTGCGATGCTGAAAGGTCAAAAAGAAAACTAAGTCAAAATCAGGTGCATTTTCCTTTATACACTGGGTGAAAGAACGCAGGGCATACACACTACAAGAAACACAGCTTAAAAGAATGTATTAAACTGCCTGGAAATTAAACTTACTCGAATGCACTTAAAGTTAAAATCTCAATTGTTTCCATTGAAAGTTACATTAAACCAATTTCCTGTGCGAAGAACTTACTTGTATTTTTTAAGGACAGCATGATCCTCTGTCAAGTTTCCTTTTTTGTGAAAACAAAACAAATGCATAAGGCAAAGATTCCATCAATCTTCAGAACTCTCCAGTTATAGCTGCTTTGAAACTTCCAAATGAATCAGGAGTTGGGGGAGGGAGGGTAAAAAATTAGGAGAATTTCCAGTTTGATTCCCAGACTTCTCCGTCACAGAAATGTCAATCCGTAGGAATCCCAACCGGAGATCTCAAGAGCACGAGGAAAAAAAGGCAGCGGCGGCGGCAGATGAATTACAATTTTCAGTCCCGTATTTGCAGAAGTCCTGTGATTTTCCCCCTCTCGGCAATTTACACACGCACACACACGCGCGGGCACAGACATGGATCTCTATCCGCGGGACCGCTTCACTCCTCCACGGGAGACAGACAGGGACCGGGGGCCGCCGGACGAGCCGGGCACGGGGGCAGGAATCCTCTTCTGATTAAACTCCGAACGGCAAATGCATTTTCCGAAAAGCTGCTTGATAACGAAGGCAGGACGCGCCCGGCCCGCCGGTGCCGAGCGCGAGAAGCCCGCGCTGTGTGTGGTGCGGCGAGGGGTGGGGAGAAGGAGGTGGTGGGGGAGGGTTTTATTTTTTCCCTCTTTTCCTAAAAAGGATGACTGCTACGAAGTTCTCCCCCCTGGACCCCCTCTTCCGCTGCACCCCACCGGCGCACCCCGCCTCCGGGCTGCGCACCCTTTCTCCTCCTCCTGCTCCTGCGCGGCGGCGCTGGCGGCGGCCGCCCCCTCCGCGCTCCAGCCGCGCACCCGCTCCGGGCGATGACGGCCGCGCCGGCGGGGAGGGCCCGGCGCCCGGCACCTTCGCTGGCAGCGGCGGCGGCGGCGGCTCGGCGGGGAAACCGAGAGCGGCGGGAGGGAGCGCGGCGGGCGGGGGAGGGGGCGGGGAGGAAGGGGGCGGGCGCGGGGCGGGGGGGTGGGGGCTGGCCTCTTACTTCATTCTCTCTAACCGACTGGTTTCCTGTACGTACGTCACACGGTTCATTCAAAAAAAGAAGAAAGAAAGAGCCCTCCTCGGAGCCGCCCCGCCGCCCCTCCGCCCCTCCGCCCCGCTCCCCTTCCCGGGTTAAAGGAGCCGCGGCCGGGCTCGGAGCAGCGCGCCCCGCGGAGGACACATGGCGCGCAGGGCCCGCGGCCCGGGAGGGCGCGCCCGGGACGCCCCCGCCCGCCCGGCCCGCTCCGCTCCACCCGCCCGCCCGCCCGCTGGGCCCGGCCGGTGGGTGGCGCGGGCGGCGCAGGCCTCCCGCGCGGCGGCGGCGCGGTGGGTGTGTGAGGGGCCTCCTCGGGCCTGCAGCGGGCCCGGCGCGCTCTCAGGGGCCCGCGAGGGGCCGGGGGCGCCCGGGGGACTGCACGCGGCCGGCAGGGCGGTTGCCGGGTGGGTGCGCCAAGGGCGCAACCGCCGGGAATCGCTTCTACCCTTGTAACCGAGTGTGTGTGTGTGTGCGCGCGCGCGCGCCGAGAATCGCTTCGACCCCTTTAACCGAGTGTGCATGCGTGTGTGCGCGCGCGCGCGTGTGTGTACGTGTACACACCGTGTTGCCGCCTCCTGGCAGCTGCCAGGGAGGAGACCAGGCCCACGCTGACCCCGAGCAGTGGGACCTCAGCGTGACCCTCCCGCGGAGAGAGAGGCAAAGGGAAGCCTCGAGCGTGGTATTTACTTTCAAGTTGCTTCCTAGGTGTGCAGGCGGAACACACACCCTGGGGACACCACCCGTGACCAAGGCCAGACAGCCCTCAGTGGGCCAGTGAGGGGCGAGTCGACGACGTCAAGGGCTCTAAGATGGCTAAATAAACGTTTTGCCTCCGCCCGTGACAGGACTGGCACTAGGTTGGGGCTGGTCGCTCCCGGGGGGCTACCGGGTAACTCTCAGGCCCTGAAAAAGGTCCCAACACCGGGTGGGTGGGTTTCCCAAGGCCTGTGGGGTCGCCGAGCAGCCAGTGCCAAATGGCCGCAGCTTCTCAAGTTATCTGAACGCGCGCGTGTACACACACAATCACACACATAAATATATTACACACGCAAGCACATCGTCTTTTCATTCATCAACCTTCACAGCCCCTAGGAGAAAAGCACAAGAGGGCAAACAAGTTGTGCTTGTTTAACTTTTTTTTTTAATCATCTCAGAAAGTCTTTGGCAAATAAAGGGCCAAGAAAACAAATGTTTACTAAAAGCCCAGCAGCTTACCTGATAGGGCTCAAATACAGAGAGATAGGGATGCTGGGCTCGAGCGCTCATAGAAACGTGACAAATGAGCGTGGCAACGTGTACAAACGTGTTCCAACACCATCTTTATTTTGTCTCGTTCCTAGTCTCAAATCAAAGCATGTGCTCTTGAGCAAAATAAGCATAAATTATTTCCATCCCATTTATCATAGGCAACCAAAGAACATGCCAACCTCTTGCAAGTAGGGATGGGTGCCTCATACAAACTTCTTATCCCAGCAAGAAGGAATGAAGGAAGATGCTCCTTCCTGCTTTTTCATGGGACATGGCACTGGGTGGTGGTGGGGCTGGGATGGGCGGTGGTGACGCAGGGTCTGGTCTGGAGATGAACACTGGGTATATAGACTGACCTGGGGTGTATGTTCTCACAGAAAGAGTAGAAACCTATACTAATGCCTCTGCATGATAGTTTAAGGATCTTCTCAGAAGCTTGTCTTAGGCCTCCAAAATTACTTAAGAGGAATTGAAAACCTTTGTGCTTCTGCGACCCAGCATGGGAGTGAGAAAACGAGAGGACAGAGCTGGAAAATAGATTGTACTTCTGCAAAGGGGTCCCCAGAAGGAAACGGGATTCCCCATTCCCAGAGAAAGAAAAGCCTCCTTATTTATTTTTTTTTTTTTCCCTCTCCTTTGCTCCCAGAGAGCCTCACTTGACAGATTTTCTCAGACTTACCCCTTCGGGGTTGGGCATCTTGGCCATCCCCAGCCGTTCTCAGGACAGGGCTGTGCTGCAGTCCTGGACCAAGATTATATATTCCCCAGGAATGTTCTGAATTCTCTTCATATCGAAAGAGTGAAACCATTCCTCCATTCAGATTGGGTTATTAGCTTACACCCTCAAGTGTGAGGGCAGGTATTGTAGGAAGCGTGTGGAGTAACTATCTCTGGGTATTGGGGAGGGAGTGGAGGGAGACCTGACCAGAGCCAGGAGTCCTGGGTTTGAATCCCAGATCTGTGCCAAAGACCTTCCAACACCCTCCCACCTGGATGCACTATAGGCTTTTTACTTCGCAAGACGCCTTATACCTTTCAGAGCCAATGGACTACCCCACTAGCAGCTTTGCCTGGCTGGATTCTAGGAGTAGGGTGGCACCAGGGAGAGAAAAGAACAAGATGCAAGGAAGGGAGATTGTATCAAGAGCCTGAAAGGCCTGTGTTTTCCTTTATTCTCCGGTCTGCCAAACAAAAAGCTTTTTATTGCCAATTTTCGCCACCTACTGGTTGATGTTTAACAGTATCATTCAGAAAGTTCTCTTCGTCCATCATGAATAGAAACACTTCCAAGGGTTATGAAATTCAAAAAGGACATTATTCTAATCTGGGCATACATGTTTTATATATAGGCATGTAGTTAAGTCTTACTATTAAACTTTTTATTTAAAATGGGGATACAAAAAGCCCATTCATTAACTGAGAGAGAAGTGACAATTAATAGATAAGGTGAGTTAAAAATATAAAACACGACCCCAAGCCATTTAGACAAACTAAAGTGGAAATACATCCATAAAGGAAATGAACTGACCAGAAAGGGTAAGAACAGAGGTCACATAACTGCATAAAAAGGAACTGCTTAAAAAACATCTCCCAGACAAGCAATGCAAAACACTTAATTTCCAGTTTCAAATGTCTTCTAAATTATCATTTCCAGCTTTATTGTGATATAATTGACACAGCTTAGATATTATGAACTCTTGACACTAAATAGTGTCATGTGCGTTCAGATGGGTTGCATCTGTTGTTGGTCATTATTATAGGATACTAGTATAATACTAATTCCCAATTAGCATTTGGTACTAACAGTAACACTGTTCTCAGTGCATTAATGCCCCAGAGCCTGTCTTCTGCTATAGGACTGATTGCAAACGATTTGTCCACTATGTGCTCTCAAACCATCCTTGTCATCACAAGGAAACACTTTCACCAAATCTAAACCAACAGGCCTTGGTTTAACGGACAAACCTACTTAACTCATGTATGGTGGGCCCTAAACGTCAAAAAATGTTTGAAATAATTAAGCAACAACCTTCGCAGCTAGGCCAAAACTGCAGGTGAATCATTCTTTTGTTTGAGTTTGATAGCAGGCAAGTCCTGTTTCCTTCTGGTTCACAAAGGCAAAGGCAATTCTTTTCCCTTCAAATCCATGACTTAGCATTTAAAGTGAAATGAAATAAGCGCAGTGAGTTACATTTTTCAAATGGCTACTGTCCTCATTGGATCAAAACTGCAGTCACAGACCCAAACAACGGGATAACACCATTGTATGAAGGGGAAATAGGCAAGGAATTGACATTCTTCTGTGCAATGACTTTTATTTTCGTACATGATTGGCACAGAGCAGTGTCTCCCGGTTATCACTTATTGATGAACATGTTTAGAGAAATCGAGGTGACTGTTTTTATCTCCTACGGCTTCCATAACAAAGTACCACGAGCCAGGTGGCTTGAAACAAATTTATTTCCCCACAGTTCAGGAGGTGTGAAGTCTAAAATCAAGGTGTCAGCTGGGCCGGGCTCCCTCTGAAGGGGCTCTAGGGAGAAATCTTTCCTCACCCTTCCTAGCTTCTGGTGGTGTCTGGCAGTCCTTGGGGGGCCTGGGCATGTACTTGCCTCTGATCTGCCTCTGTTGTCACTTGGCCTTCTCCGTGTCTCTCTGGGTTCTCTTCTTGTAAGGTTGCCAACCATATTGGATTAGGAACCGAATAAACTCATCTTAACTCAGTTATATTGGTAAAGACCCTATTTCCAAATAAGATCACATTTACGGGCACTGGGGGTTAAGACACTGATGACATCTTTTGAGGGTGCACAACTCAACTCATAATAATGTGTGTCTAATATGGGATCTTCCAAACTAACGACAACGGTTTTTACTCAAGGCTCAGGGCTCAGCAACCCCTGAATTTCAAGGGGCACCATGATCTTTTTAGAACTCAAATCTGGCCATTTTATATTTCTGCCCAAAGTTCTTCGGAGGCTAACATTGCAACTCCTCTACATGGCTTGATCTGGTGCAAATCTACCCCCCGGGGGCCCCGCCTTTCCTTATGCCTTCCCTTCTTGCAGCCATATTAACTCTGCGCTTTCTGGAATACACCAAGATCTCTCGTGCCTTTTGCCTTTGCACATCTGCTCTTCTACCTGAAACACACCCAACCTTCTCAGAGCGAATTCATCCTCATTTCTCAAGTTGCATCTTCAGAACCCCCCACCCCCACCCATGAGACCATGCCTGACTTCCCTGCGCAGTCCTCAGAGCCCCCTTGTGCCACTGGAAGAGGGTTAGGACAGGGTATAGGCAGAAAACTGACTATGGGCTCCATAGCTTAGAAGTTGCTACCGTGGACTAGTTACTTAACCTCTCCGTGCCTGTGCCTCTGCATAAGGCGGATATGAAGAGTACCGCTTGAGGGGCAGCACATGATTGAGATGAATTCAATGTGATGCACTCACGACAGTGACCGCCATGGGCTAGGTTTATTTGAGGACAGGGGCTGTATTTTTCCTTTGTGCTTTCCCAGCCTAGAATACTGTCCGACATTCAAACATTTGTGGCATAAAATTCAGAGGTTCCAAGCTGAAGAAAGGAAGTCCAGAAAGACTTGTAAGGGCCTTCAGAGAGATGAAGGAGTGAGGAGGGAAGAAAGAAGAAATGTAATCACCACCTGGGAGGGACAAACTGGTTATGCAGAGTAGTATCCCCAGGGGCCTGGATGCCGAGCTCAGTAAATATATGTTGAATGAGGGGAAATCGAGGGCATAAAATCAGTAGTGGAACACTGTATTTTTTCCTTTTTAAACATCCAAATACAAAAATTATAGAAGGGATATCATATGCTGCTTATGGTATATACAATGCTCAAATTTAGAGAAAGCTCAAGTTTGCAAACCAAGATGTCCAAGGAATCTCTCCACGATGGAAACCCATTTCCCATTTAAAGACAGGACTATTAAGGTGTGTTATTTTATATATCAGTCTTCTGTGTTCTTCAGAACCTAAGAAATATTGCATTGTTAGTATATGCAGGTTTAAAGTGTGCAAAATCTGTTTTTATATGAAATGTATTACATTAAGAAATATTACTACCACTTTTCTTTTCTACCACCTTTTACTCACGTTTCCCATATCTGAGTCACACAAACACAGAACATATTTGAAATAGGCACTCTGAATGCCAAGTAACTTACTCTGAAAATATTAGTTCCTAAAATATGATCAAAATCAAGCCCTGTTTAGGAGGCAAGGTTAGGATAATATTATGAAAGAGATTTGTGTTTTGCTTAAATGACTCTTAAACACAAATTTCTAAAAAAAAAAATACATTTTCAAATCTGTAAAGCTTGTTCCCCATTTATTTTTTGTTGTGATTCAGAAATACAAGATATGAAAATTAGGTTACAATTCTGCCACAAAAGCATCTAAAGTAGCAAACACAAGTTCTAATATATATCAAAATAGCCAAGTGCATTCTTACAGTTTAAAAATGTCTTTAGAGTTGTCCCATCAAGCAAGTGTAAAATATAATAGCTATTATCTCCTCTTCAAAATATCAAATCTGCCATCATTGCGCTGAACTAAACAAGATTTAGTCCAGAGTATGGAAGGTTATGGTTAGTGTACTTTTTAAAGCTGAGTTACTAAGAACTAAGGACATGAGAAAGATACAAAGCATCGTATGTCAAAAACTATGAATATTTAAAAGTGTCCTCATGTGAGTGAGACATGTTTAAATTAGAACATGAGGTAATAAAATTAAATCTGTTGATGATAAAACTCAGTAAAAAAAAAAAAAAATTATCATGGTATTGCCTTCTTCCAAAAAGACAGACATACAATTCTTTGAATTGAAGCTACTATTTCCAAAATGCTTTTATCATCTAAATATTAGAAATGCACTCCCAAAGTTCGCTTCTAAGAATCAGTGATATATGGTTTAACCAACAGATTTCTAACTGAACACATGTAAGTATTAATGCAAAGAGGCCATTATTGACAGTATTTTTCATTTTTTCTCTTTTCAGCTGTGAAAATTAAATTTTAAAAAATAACAGAAAAGAACAATTTCCTGGACTTTGTTTTTGTAAAAAGAAATGGGGGTTATATCTTATATCTTTTTTAATTATAGAGGGTCCTTGAACATATTTTGGAATTTCTACGGATGAACGACATTCAACATTTTTTTAAAATAAATATACTCACAAATACACTATAATAAAACAGCAAAACCAAGCCCAGCAGAGGCAACCACTTCGGAACCAACACACACAGTAAACAGTAGCTGGTCACAAACAGAAAGCCAACACTTCAACAGAATTGGAATCAAACTCCTTCTGCCACAGGTAAGACACACCCACTTCTGGGTACAGTACAAAGTGTTGAATCAATGACCCCTTTAAAAAAAAAGAAAAAGAAAAAGAAAAAAGAAATGGCAACAGTTTCCTGAACAATCTGACTCAGAGGGTTTTGTGTGTGTGTGCATTGTTGTTGGTGTTGTTTTTAATTCCCCTGAGCAGGCAAAAAAAAAAAAAAAGACAGGTCAGTATAAAAAATGTACAAAAACTGAGCCAAAAAAGATAAAAAATAGAATTTGCCTTTGTAATATTTTCATGTTTTGGATGAAGTCAGATCTTTGTGTGACACTGCTAAATGTCCATAATCCTTTATCCAAACTGTTCGGGCCAGACTCATTTCAGAATTCTTAATTTTTTAGATTTGGAAAAAGGTGATGTGGGGCATATGCTGGATATTACAAAACGTGTCCGTAGAATCTAGGGCAATACCTAGAATCAAACTCATTGTTGTTTCTTTGGGAAAAATTAATGAAGAGTCCATAAAATGGATAAATCAAAACTCTAACACATCAGTTCAAGTCAGGTTTTGCTATCAAAGGAATAATGGCACCAAATTTAGGAAAAGAGGGGGAAAAAACCCCAACAACTTAGTTTTCAAAGCTTTTTGGATACAGAGCTTTGGCCCTTTAACTTGTCTGACAAAGAAGCCCATTCCTTGATGATATGATCTCCACAAAATCTGCTCTCATGCCCGAGCTACAACAGGCTTGAGGAAAGGATCTCCCACCACAGAATGGGGGCTCTTAAATTTGTTCAGGGAGCAGATTACCTGGAGGTGACAATACAGGCTACGAGGAAACCTTGACAGTACAGCCTACGGAAGTAATTGTGGTCCAATAATCGTACTAAACGAGACACCATCTTGGGCTAGATTTTCATCTGGACCAGCAGTTGGAGGTGCCAACAAGGAATATTCACCAGGAAAAATAAAAGTGAAAAATAGCCAGACATTAATGTGTAACTGTTTTCCGCAAATTAGGGAAATAGAGCCATTATTCTATCTTAAGAGGCTGCGAGGTATGACCTAATGTAGTTTGCAAACGATGGCTACAGAAGACAGAGAGATTCATGAAACTGTGAGGGCATCCACCCACCCCCACAAACTGCAATGAAGTCATAACCAAGCAACTTCTATATTAAATAATTTCTTCCATCTTGGTCAGTGTTAAAATATGCCATTCTCAGATCCTCATTAAAAGGATGCCAAGGATTAAAGCCATTAAATATCTCACTTTAAAAAAATTAAGTCATCTTAAAGTCAAGAGGTTCAAAAACTCAAGAGCAAAAGAAGGTTTGCTGTAATTTTTAGGCCTTTAATCTTTTGTATGCACAGTATATGCATACTGTGTGTGCAGGAAGGAGGGGGCGTAGCATTACGATGAAGGGGACTGTCCCAAAGTAGGGAGCGCACACAGTGACAGGATGAAGTAGGGAATGTTGGCCAAAACCCATGAGAGGCACTTATTGTGGAAATCCACTAACTGAGCAACAGAGCCTGTGATGTGAAAACAACATTCACGGGGCCGAGAGGATCCCAGGGCTTATGTTGCGGGAGTGATGACTGGGCTTCCTTAACGTGGTGTGCAGAGAAGGTTCTCCGATTAAATGGGAGTCACAGAAAGAATGGGTGATCATTTTCTTTCAAAAATGAGTATCTTCAAAATCAGCTTTGTCCTATCTTCTTTCTCTTAACGAGGAAAATGTAAATATACGATCATCAGCCTTTCGTAAAAGCTACATATATGCTACCAGAAGAATGTCACGCTTTTTAATTTTTTTCACCTGTTTTAATTAATTCATGAGTTAATTTAAAAAGTCAAGTCAAAAAATTTTAACTAGTCTTTTTTTTATATATAAAAATATTATAGCAGTATCAGGAAAACAGGAGAGATGGGAAGAATGACAAGACACTCTAATGGGATGGGTGAGCTCCGCGTCCTCATGGCTGTTGAAGAAATTGTAAACTTTTAAGCTTCTAAGATTTTATTTCTCTTCAGAAAACATTTTAGGAGGCTGCCTTTCCCCGTGAATGAAAAACAAAAAGTGCTCTATGCATTCGAGTCTAAAGAAGACAAGAAATCACTATTTTTCCTACTGGAAAACGCTCTCTCCTGCCCTTCCCCTGCATTGTTCTCTCTCATCCCCCTGTATTTTTATGGGATCAAAGAGAGAGAGAAGCCACGAGTGGCCACGAGAAGACAGTGAGTCAGGGACATCATCACACACTCAGACTTGCCCGCAATCTGTAAAACTCCTCTTGAATAAAATACACCATGTTAAAAAGACCAAAGGGGGGGGGGAAGCCCCAGAAACCCATAAACTGCCTAACGTGGAAGGTTAAAAAAAGTGCCCAAAGCTGCATCTTATATATCATAAGGTACATTTCTGGACTTAATCTCAATAGAGGGGGAAAAAAAAGAATAAATAGATACATGTAAATGATCGTTCTGGAATCAAGGTCTTCGCCTTGCTCACATGCTGTTCGTTCCCATAGGGTCGTCACCTCCCCGCCCCGAGAACCACGGGTCTCCTGCTCCGTGTTTGCATAGTGTTAATAACCTCACCCGAGCCGCACGCCTCTCCCCTCGCCCGCAGCCAGGTTTCTGAAGAGCACTGGTCCAATCTCACATATTCAAAAGCGATACATACGTGTCTGTAGGCCAAAAACTGGGTCCCTTTTAGCAGCAAGCTGTTCAGTTATTTAGAAACAGTCTTTTCCCCAGGGGCACGGATTAGGCAGTTTTGTCTGCAATTTCCGATTTTGCTCTCTGCATCATGCAGCGACGCACGATGCTGTCGAAGCTTCCCAGGTAAAACAGCGCGATGGTGCGGAACAGGCCCATGGTGACCACCTGCGAGACACAGAGAGACCCCGAGCTCATCCCACAGCACAGGGCCGCACCTCACCTCCATGGATTTCAAGGTCCTCTCCCATAAAGAGTTTCGAAGACATGTCTTCTAATCTGCTCCAAGGATGACGAAAACTCCCGAACTGGGGCGCCTGGGTGGCTCCGTGGGTTACGTGTCTGCCTTTGGCTCAGGTCGTATCTCAGGGTCCTGGGATCGAGTCCCACGTCCTCCGAGTCGGACTCCCTGCTCAGCCGGGAATCTGTCTCCCTCTCCCACGGCCCCTCCTCCCTGCCCTCTCTCGTCTTTCTCTCTCAAATAAATAAAATCTTTAAAATAAAATAAAATAACTCTGTAAGCATCAGGAGAGCACAGAGGACAGAAGCTGTCCACTTGCGCCCCTGGACGGCATGTGACTGTCAAAGTTATAATAGCCGAATGTTTGCCCAATTCATAAATTCAAATTATACAAAAAGCAAATTAGGTATTCTTAGCAGTCCTTGGGTTCTAATAGCTAGAGAATATCCACTCCGGCATCCCCAATACCCAAACTGTCATCAAGGCTTTCTGGTTTAAGACTTATGTCCTGGGGACACCTGGGTGGCTCAGTGGGTTAAGCCTCTGACTTCGGCTCAGGTCATGATCCCAGGGTCCTGGGATCAAGCCCCGCATCGGGCTCTCTGCTCTGCAGGGAGCCTGCTTCCCCCCCCCACCCCCACTCTGCCTGCTTCTCTGTCTACTTGTGATCTCTGTCAAATAAGTAAAATCTTAAAAAAAAAAAAAAAAGACTTATGTTCTGAACAGAAAAGTCAGACCCTATTCTAAGTGCTACCACCATAACGAGAAAGACACAGGGCCTGCCTTCCACAAGCTTCTTCGATAATTAGAAGGACGACCAACTGGGGGAGGACAATTACTGCATTAGGCAGAGACAGGGGATGTCCATTAACCATCAGGATTCCTGTCCACACATTCTCACGGCAACACCTCTGACTGGAATTTTTTTCCAGACACAGAACTACAAGGAAAAGCATTTTCAAATACACTAGTTCTCAAATGTTGCCTCCCGTGGGCCCTTTTTCAGAAAAGCACTAGAAGACTAAAAAAGCCACATTGAGGAGTCAATGAAGAAAGGGAACATCATGTGACACAGGAGGCAGGGGACCCCCAAAGCAGATGACAGGCAGAGGGGACCCCAGACATGGGACAGTGTGTCCTGATGGGTAGCTCAGAAGGCTCCAAGAAGGATTGCTTCCAGAAGGGAAAACTGATAGAATGTCTGATATTTCTGAGAGGAAATGAAGACTGTCATTATTAATACATAGAAAAAAGCCAATAACAGTTTCAGGGAAAACAAAAGGTTATACAAGAAAAGAAAATTAATTATGTATAATACGGAGTTCAGCTGTGAAGAGCATTGACATAGCTGTAACAATGATAATCTCAAATACAGATCTGACCAGAATCATAATATAAGTAAAAAGGGAGGATGGGAACGGAGGAGAGGCGGCTGTAAGCAGAAGGGAGAGGGCGTGAGGAAGAGCTAAATCCTCCTCTTTCTTGGTGGAAGCCCATGCCTGACCCCAAGCTGAGAAATCCGTGGAGGCGGCCACATAAGTCTACACTCTGGGCGCACTCTAGATGGACACGTGGAGGCCCAGGCCACAGAATAGTGTGGCTACGTCTGAGAAGGCCAAAGGGGGGGCCACTGTTGTTCCCACAGAGCCTTGAAAACACCGGTTCTCTGAAGGGTGTGTAAGGATAACTTTGAAAAATGAAAGAACCAAAGGGAAGCTGGAAAAATGCAGAACAACAGGGAGAGTGACGAGATCAGTGATTGCCAGGGGTTCAGGAGGAGGAGGGAAGGACGACCAGGAGAGCACAGGTGAATGTGCGGGCTGGGGAATGACCCCATGTTATACAGGGTGACGGTGGACATGTGGCACCAGACGTCCATGGCAGTGTACACTTGTCAAAACCCTTAAGAAGGTCATGTGACACCAAGAGTAAACCCTAATGTAAACCATGGACTTCCATAAATAATGACGTCTGCCTACTGGCTCATCACCTGTACCGATGTGCCATGCTAATGCAAGATGCTAGTAACGGGGGAGTCTGTGGGCACAGGAAGAGGGGGTGTATGGGAACTCCATAATTTCAACTCAAATTTCCTATCAACATAAAACTTCCCTGAAAAATAAAGTCTATTATTTAAAAAAAAAAAAGAAAGAAAGGAAAAAAATCAAGAAAAAGCAATGAGAACACAGCACACCAAAATGCTAAAAGAGCTAAGTCTAAGGAATTGAACAGTCTTGGAGTTTTCTGGAAAAAGCAACGCTTAACGTGAGACCTGAAGGAAGACTAGAAGTTGGTCAGACAGAGGAAGGCTGGGGATGGAGGCAGAGACACAAAGTCATGGGAAGAGGAGGAGGGGCAGGAAGGTGAGCAAGGTCGAAGGTCAGAGGGCTATGCCACGTGATGGAGTGGAAGCTTTACGTCAGTGGGCCTGGGGAGCTGCCAAGGGCTGCCCTGCAGGGTGGGTTATACAGTTTGGAAAAATGGGCATGGAACTGTGAGGGCTCTCGGATGCACCCAGGACTAGGGCAGGGTACTATAAGGCCACTGGGAGGGGGGGGCCATGTCCCGTATAACAGGAGTGGCTGCCACCTGCCCCCGCAATTACTGCCAGGGGAGAATGCAGACCGTGTGCTGTTGGGCCTTCTGATTTTCCACAAAACATCTGAAATCTGGACTTCTCATGGACTATCTAATTTTAAAACCATTTTATGTCAACCTGCACACTTATATACCAGATGAACCACATGAAACATTTTATGGGCCCATACGCTCCCAGGTGACCCCTCTGACTCAGAGCATGAGACCCAGGCGGGGAGCTGACCGCAGTGTCCCGGGCCTGAACCAGGGGAGCAGCAGCGGGGCTGGGAAAGCAGGGGAGTCAGAGGAGAGACAGACCTGACCCCTCCCATGAGGGGCAGGATGGGGTCCAGGATGACACCGATTCCTCGTCAAGCTCGAGTGAACATGAACATGGACCCCGATCACAGAGGCAGTACAGACTCGGTGATGGGGAGGTGGGGGCGGGATGCTGGGGAACACAGCTTCATTGCAGGCATGGGCAAGTGGGGATGGGAGGTCGCAGCCCAGGGAAAACACCTCAGAGAAATTTACACAGAACTGCAGCGGACGAAACAGCTATGGGCTGAAGTTTTCTGTCGGGCGTCACGCATGTGGAAGTGGGAGAGGGGACAAGATGGCCACACAGAACGTGCTGACCTGAGGTTCCCACTACGTGCCAGGCACGGGCTGTTAGGGGCTGCCCTTGGAGAGCTTACACGGAACACAGCGTCTACCTCTAAGAGAGAGTCAACAAAGTCATGGAAGAGAAGAGTGGAGAAAGCCCACACCCAAGTCCTTTGGGTTTTCAGTCTGGACACGGCCTACCACACAAAGCTCAGTACTTGGTCATAAACTACCCAACAGTGCGGGCAGCCCCCTTCCAGGCAGCCTCCCAGCCCTCCGCCCAAGCTCCGCCCTCCCTCATCGGGGCCGTGCAGAGCCAGCCCTCTGGGACAGCTCTTGTCCTGTCACACTGCATTCGTATCCCCTCTGCCCGTCGCTCCCACTAGACCGTGAGCCCGGAGGCTGCAGAGGCTGCGCCCGAGTCTGCAGCAGCTGACACGGCACCGGGCGCGCCAATGAGCGGCTCACTTCTCTGTGGCTGGATGAGCCAGAGCGTGGGTGAGAGGACGGTCTGCGGTGAATCCTTGACTTGTACCTCCCTGAGCACGGCTGCCTGTGACCTGACTCCCCTGGAAGGGGGGTTCTGGTCTGATGCCTGGTACCCTACGTCACTCTACCGCAAACACCTGCAGTTCTCACAAGAGAACGCGAGTGAACGTCCTGAGAGCAGAGACGGCGTACCCCTCTACATCCACGGGGCCAGAGCACAGAACACGTTTCTCTCTGAACCCCTCAGCTGCTGTCCTTCACTATGTCCTACTTTCTCATCACCGCTACAGCAAGAGAACCAACTTCACACCCACAGATAAAGTTGCAAGTCTTCCGTTAGCCTTTTCTCACTGGGTTTTAACGAGAGGCACTGTGTGTCTGTCTGTCCGTCTGCCTGGTTACAAGCACAGCTCACCTGCTGGAGCCCTTCAGTGATAGAAGTTACGGGAGCCATTCCACAGGTCAGGGACGACAGCATGTACCCGTCGGAGCCAATGGAACTGTTAAAATTCCCTTGCTGAAACAGAAGGAGGAGAAAAGAGGCAACAGTAATAACCAGGAAAGGAATCAGCACATCAGAGACCACGAAGTGTGTGGGATGCCTGAGTGGCTCAGGCAGTCGGGTGTCCAACTTCCGACCTGAGCTCAGGTCAGGATCTCAGGGTCGTGAGCCTGAGCCCCGCGTGGGGCGACACGCTGGGAGAGGAACCCGCTTAAGGTTCTCTCTCTCCCTCTCCCTCTGCCTCGCCCCTGCTTGCTCGCATCAGAGCACACCTGCACACTCTCTCTCTCTCCCTCTCAAAAAAATTAAATTAAATTAAATTAAAAAAGCAAAAACAACGAAGTGCGTCCACTTTAGGCGGCATGAGAGGGTAACAGAGCTATGTCAAAGCTCGTAAACGAATGTGGCCTCAGCCGATGGGCCAGAATGGCTACGCAGGGCATTCTCAAAATGGGGGTCCAAGAACGGCTGGGGGTCCTGAGACCCTTTCAGGGGACCCAGGAGGACAAAATGACTGTCGTAATAATACTAAGACCTTAACTGCCTTTTCACTGGCGTTTGCACTGATGGGCAAAACTGCTGGTTCATCAGCACCCACCACAGTAGCGGCGTCCCTCCACGGCCACACACACGCAGCGATAAGTAAGGGGACATTTTAAAAAATCTTTGAAAGATTTTAAAAGGTCAGTTTTGCTTTAAAATGTTCTTGATAGAGCAATAAAATCAATCATTTTATTAAATCTCCACTCTAACGGGCAAGTCTTCTTAATACTCTGGGTGACAAAAAGAGAATACACACCCGGTGCCTTGTACTGGGTTCTGTCCCCAAGGCGGACAGCTGCCCTGCAGAAAGGCCCTCCTCCCACTGTTTAAGTCATGAAACTTAACCCACGGTTATTCAGACTTGGGTATCTGGAAGACATTTTGTGGAAAATGAATCAAATGAGCCTGTCACTTCAAGGAGAACTGGCAGCTTTTTTAGTCAGTGTTAAAAATCTGAGCTTTCAAGGAAAAAATTAAGATTTGTGAAAACCTATCTGCCACTGTGAGATTGTCAGCTTTGTAGTATGTAGACTTTCATGATCAGACCAGCAGTAATATGAATGGATACAATTTTTCTGATAACTCAGTGAACCCGTATTTTCCAAATGACTAATGCATAATGTTACAAAATCATGAATGGGTACAAAACATTCAGAGTGCAAAGACCAATGGAATTTCATGTAACAGAGAACAAAACACTTCATTAATGTAGTTTCCAATTCCACACGGTAATTAACCTTTAAGAAACTATTATTCACCCAGTTTGGGTTTAATATCAAAGAAGAATGTCCACAGTTATCTGAAAAGTCCATTAAATATCCCTCCCTTTCCTAACTACATATCTGTCTAAGGGCAGATTTTCTTTATATCCTTCACTCCAAAAAACAGATTACAGCCGACTGAATGTGGAAGCAGCAATGAGAATCCAGCCGTCTTCGATTAACACAAACATTAAAGAGACTGGTGAAATGTGATACAAAGGCACTCTTCTCACTGAAGTTTTGTCTTGGAAAATTACTATTGTAGAAAGATTCCATTAAAGTGTAATAGGTTTACTGTGCCTATTTTAAGTGGATTAATAAATACATATTTTTTTAGATTATGCAGTTTTGGGGTACCAACATGGCTCAGTTGGTTGAGCGTCTGCCTTTGGCTCAGGTCATGATCCCGGGGTCCTGGGATCAAGTCCTGCAATCGGGGTCCCTGCTCACTGGGGAGCCTGCTTCTCCCTTTGCCTCTGCCTGTTGCTCCCCCTGCTTCTGCTATCTCTCTCTCCCTCAAATAAATATATAAAATCTTAAAAAAAAAGATTATACAGTTTCAACTTCTCACATGGCAACCATAGATAAACACACAAGTGGAAAGACATCTCTGGGCCTATCACCAGTTTCGTGTGTAAAGTGGTCAAGAAATGAAGTTTGAAAACCACTGGACTAGACGAATCCTACTGAGATACAAACAGCTACTTCAGATCACTGAAAACCCTGAGTGTGTTTGCTCTGATCTGGGGGAAGCAGGAAACACAACCCTCACCTGCCAGGACCGTCTTTCTAGGCCTCTGAACACAGGCGGCGCCCGGTGCTTCCAGCGAGTGCGTTTACCTCCCCAGAGCCAGTGTCTCCTGTATCCCACTCAGTCCCCGCCCGGGCTAAGCAGCACGTGCGGGCCTCACGGCAGCTTCATGGCTCACTGACACCTCATTCCGAGGGTCCTCGAACTTCCCACCTGCAGTGTAGACCTAATGCTCACCGACACCCCTCATTAGTGCATGTTGTGCTGGGGGTAGGTTCACAGGATGTCATCAGAAGGCTGTGGGGCACGTTTGTGGGTTCCACAAAATGGCAGGTATGTGGTTTCCACAGATACCACTCTTGACTCCAGATAAACTCATAGCCTGGATGCTCATAAGTGGGGGACAGGATGGTGCCCCAGTGGGCCCGGGAGCACAGCCTTGTCAGTGAACATTTGCAAAAATGATCCTGGGAAGCAGGAAGGTCAAAGAAAAAAAATCCTTAATCAACAAGTCCAGCATTTAATAAAGTGCCTAAAACCAGTCTCTAACGTCAAGTGCTGTGGGAAAGCCGCAGGAAGGCAGCAGGCCCCCGACAGGATCTAGGACATACCATTTACACGCACAGGGAAGTCTTGTGTTCTTCTGAGAGAACCGTAGTTCCCCGGCACCCTTAGTCATCAATCTGTTCCTAAGGTTAAATGTATAATTAGTTTCTAGGAGCCTCCAAATCAACATGGAATCAATAAAGTATCTCAGGGAAGAAGACCAGAGTCCAACATTACATATGAAGCGGACCAGAAAGACACAGTAATTTATGTTGTGAAATAAGCCCTGGGACAAACACAGTATTTCTTTTCAGAAATCTAGTGCTACAACCATTAAGAAAGAAAACAAGAATTGTACTTACTATGGCGTCTTTAACAATTTGTTTGGCCACTTGCTCCGGTTTACAAACAGATACGGTCTCTGAAATCAGGCGAGTCTCCAAAGGCTAAATGGGGGAAAAAAGAACAGGCTTATCAATCCTGTTATCACCCATTAAATTCAAGAACAAATAATTCTTACAACCGTCTCTCCCCTACTTCATAAAGAATTCTAACTTTCTACCTTTGAGCAGATTCCTACTCAAATCAGGAATCAGGTCTGTCTGGATTACTACATCAGTTTCTACCTGGCCACTGCATAAAATTCACCCCGGTGGCTGGAGTGAAACAAGGAGGCCCTTGCCGCTCTCCATGGGACAATGTGTGGTCTCGGCTCCAGCGATGACCAGCAAAGCTGGCATGAGACCGCGTCACTGGTGCAAGGCTGGGGGCATCCTCAACTCCCAGGCAGACACCTGCGCGCCAGTGTTTACACAGAGCCTGGACCACGCGCCCTCAGCAAGTCTGCCTTATGACCAGCATCACCACTGCCACCACATTCTGGGCCAGCAAAGGACTGACATGTGGACGGAGCTGAGGCCCTGGGCAGAGCGAGCCCCAGCCCAGCCCCTGTTCAACAACACAGCTGTGTCTTAAAAGACCTGCAGAGGAGGTAACAAGGAGATGGGACAGAAAACATCGAGGGCCCTCAGGCATGGCTGGGGGTTCATTTATCGGACGGCTGTATCAGAACCCCAAATCCGAGGTGGTGAAAGGCAGCCACCTAGTTCAAAAGCCTTTCCTGAATTCTTACCTGAATTCTTTGTCCTCTCATCTCTGCATATTTCTGCCTTAATAGGTATTACAGCTACAAGTGTACTTGCACTTTACCTCCTAAGTTCCTTGTGGACAAGGTCTTTTTTTTCTTTTTCTTTTTCTTTGTAAAATCTTCTTTACAGTGACATGAACATGTGCTCAGAAATTCTTTAAAAGGGAGTTTCAATTAGATGTTTGAAAACTAAAGCCTTAAATGGCAGGAAACTGTATCTTTTATTTACCATGTAGGCTTGAGAATATTAAAATAAAAGCACAGGATGTATTTTCTTAAATTAGAAAAACATAGCACTTCATAAAAGTCAAATATTTCTTGATGAACCTGAATTCAAAAAAGGGCTCTTCTGAAAGGGCCTGTCCCTTCTTCCAGACCAGTCTGGCACAACCCAGCCACACACGCATTAGATTTAAAAGCACTATGGCGCCCCCTAAAGGGCTTACACACCAACACACAGTTTGATTTATCCGGAGAAGTCTGCTCAACACTACAGCTAGAGGGGAAAAAACCCAACTTAACATCAAAATCCAATCTTCACAGGGAAATCACCACTCCTTGTCAGCTTTGGCTTCCAACGAAAAGACTGTTACCAAATGTTGCAAATCTGCTTAGCAGACCCCTGCTTATTCTAACACAGGGCACTTGGCTTAAATTTACTTCTTTGAAATAGTTGTAATCTTAAGAGGCAGAGCCAAAGAGAAATGAAAAGGGGAAAAAACTTCTAAATCGTAGACATTTCTTTGCAATTAGTCTATGGCGCATAAGTGCCAATTTTTATGCCGCAGAGCCTCACACTTACTAAGCACTGGTATAAAGGAGAAGAAAACCAATCCATGCCCATTCAAGGCAGTACGTTCTGATCCATTCCCTTCTTCTCCACTTGCTTCCTCTGCTCGCAGGGTGCTTACAGCACATCAAGGCTAAAGAAGAGGCTCCTTTGAACAAAGTGCGAAGTTTGCATTCAGCTCAGCAGGACTGTCGTTGCATATAAAGTAAATGTCCAGTGGCAATAAGCATTATAAAGAAAAATAAAGCCAGAGGAAAGGACGGTGGATATTCCAAGGGAGTGACCTTTGAGATACAGAGGGTCAGGGAAGGCCTCTCGGGGTGAAGTGTGTACAGAGACAGAAAGAAGCAAGGGGGGCGCCCTGGTGGCTCAGTTGTTAAGCATCCACTTCGGCTCAGGTTATGATCCTGGGGTCCTGGGATCGAGTCCCACATCAGGCTCCCTGCTCAGCAGGAAGCCTGAAGGCTGCTTCTCCCTCTCCCACTTCCCCTGCTCTGTTCCCTTTCTCGCTGTGTCTCTGTCAAAAAAATAAATAAAGGGGTGCCTGGGTGGCTCAGTGGGTTAAGCCTCTGCCTTCGGCTCAGGTCATGATCTCAGGGTCCTGGGATCGAGCCCCGCATCGGGCTCTCTGCTCAGCGGGGAGCCTGCTTCCCCCTCTCTCTCTGCCTGTCTCTCTGCCTACTTGTGATCTCTGTCAAGTAAATAAATAAAATCTTAAAAAATAAATAAATAAAAAATAAAACCTTTAAAAAAATTCAGTTTTATGATGGGGAGTCCCACTAGCCACATTTCAAGTGTTTAAGAGCCACAATGTGACTACCATATTGGAGAGTGCAGACACAGAACATTTCCATCTTAGAGAATTCTATCAGACTGTGCTGCGCAAGAAGGGTCTTTTTGTTTTTGTTTTTGCACAAGAGGGGTTTGAACGGGGGAATGACAAGACCTGACTTACTCTTTAAAAGGATTACTGGCCCCCGTGTGAAGAACAGATGGGGATGGGAGGGAGGGGAGCAGAAGAGGCTAGTCCTGATAATCGCAGTTTTGTTTTGTTTTGTTTTGCTTTTTAAAAAGGTCCAATTCAGGATAAGTTCTGAGAGGAGAGCCAAGAGGATGTGTGGTCAAGCGGGTGAGTGGTGTGGGAGAAGAACTAAGGCTGGCTTCTCGGTTACTGGCCTGAGCACTGGGCGGACGCTGGGCGCCAGGCAAGGAGCTGAGAAGTTAATGAGGGAAAATGAGGGAATCCTAAGATCCGTTTCTGAAATGCTAAGTCAGGATTGGCAACCAGGTGTTAAGTTCAGAGGAGAGAATATTATTGTTAAAGAATACCATCTCGTTAGTTAAAAATACAGGCCATACTCAACCTCACAAAGAAAATACCTTATTAATTAAGTAAGCCCTTAAAGATTATTAGCAAAAGTCATGGCCTTGGGAAATACAGGCTGTGTTCTCTAAGACCCTACATGAAAGGTCCAGAAAGTCCAGACACGTCTACCTAGCACATTAGTTGAAAAGAACTCAATTTTTTTAAAAGATTTTACTTATTTATTTGACAGACAGAGATCACAAGTAGGTGGAGAGGCAGGCAGAGAGAGAGGGGGAAGCAGGCTCGCCGCTGAGCAGAGAGCCAGATGCGGGGCTCGATCCCAGGACCCTGGGGGATCATGACCTGAGCCGAAGGCAGAAGCTTTAACCCACTGAGCCACCCAGGTGCCCCAAGAACTCAATTTTCTGACTGATGAAAATGACTTCAGGCTGATGGGTGGAAAGTCAGAAAATTGGGAAAGGGGTTTACAACATCAAAACAGACACCGGCAAACACTTACCTTGGTTTTGTTTTCTTCTGCAAACCCAGGGGTGTCTGTGTCTGGCGGGTAGGCAACTGTGACATAGACGTTGTATGGCTTCACCTGCATTTCAGAAACGAAACGTGCCCCTTCAGTGAACAAAGTACGATCCCACCTCTTCCCTTATTTTCCTGCACTGACTGCCAGGGGCACACGCGACAGATGCTGCCCCGATTCTCTCAGAAGCTGGCAAGACCAGCAGGGTGATTGTGCAGGTGGAGAACCAGCCCTCACAGGGTCCGAAAACTCCGCTCCACGAAGATCATTTAGGAAGAAAGGCAAAAAGCCCACCCCACCAACTTCTACTTCAGAAGGCGGCTGGCCCCGAGGTACAGTTTTGCCCACCTTCTAAGTTTTGCCCACCCTGCGGGCCAGGTGAGGCCCCGGGGGCGGTCCGGGAGGAAGGCCAGCAGCTGAAAGGCAGTCTATCCGTGCCCCCTCCCCGACCCCGACAGCACTCGGGCCTTGCATGCCAGCCAGTGGGACGGGTCTGCTCCTCCACCATCGGACTGCAAATCTGGCTTCCTCCACGGCTGCCTCTGAAACTCTTACTGACAAAATACATGAAGATCATTCAAAACCCTCTCCCTAGGCCCTTCTCGTGCCACCCAGACTCCAGCTGAGAAGTAGATGGATCCCTGAGACATTGGCCTGATCAAGAACTCTCCAGGCAACCAGCCTCCGCCCACGAGGGCATCAGAAATTACTCTGCCCTCCCCCACAGAACCGGCCAACAGGATTCTGCCCCCTGGTGAGTCCTGGGCCAGACGGGCCAAGCACCTCTCCGAAGGCCACCTCATCCTTACTTAGATGCAGAAACTCCTTCCCCAGCTTAACGCGGGCTCTTAGGCTTGTTTACCTCACCACCAGGCCTCCACTGAATTCTCTACTCATCAACACACCCCGAACAAGAAGACTCCAGAAGATTCTCCCACTAATCAGCCAGGACACACCCTCCCAAAGATCCTGCCCGTTAGCGGCCCTGCTCCAGGCTCTCATCCGGCCCCAATTCTCTTTTTTTTTTTTTTTAATTTTTTTTTTTAATGATTTTATTTATTTGAGAGAGAGAGAGTTAGAGAACATGAGAGGAGAGAGAGATCAGCGGGAGAAGCAGACTCCCCGCTGAGCAGGGAGTCCGATGTGGGACTCGATCCCAGGACTCCAGGATCATGACCTGAGCTGAAGGCAGTTGCTTAACCAACTGAGCCACCCAGGCGCCCCCGGCCCCAATTCTTAATGGCTCGAAGGGCGACAGCTCATACCATCAAAACTGCTACCCCTCGACTCACTGTCAGCTCACTGCTCGGCCCCAGGACGACACCGAGGGGAGCTGAGAGCGGACAGGCAGCTGGTGGTGGGGAGGCCCCCACGTACCTCAAGGGGGCTGAGGAGTGACAAGACCGCTTCCTCACACAACAGCCTCTCAGGGCATCCCGGGGCCCCATCTTTTCACACGGGCCTTTTTCTCCTGGGCTCCCTCCGTGAGGCGGCGTTCTAAGCCTGCGGCAGGAGCTGGAAGGGTCGGGAGAAGCATGGAGGCAGCAGATCCTGGCCGGCCACCCTGACGAGCACGCCAGCCGAGGGTGATGTCTCTGCTGGCCGAGCTCCAGCGCTCCGGGGCCGTGAGAGAGCTCGTTCGCTCAGCACGGATGGGGCGCGCGGCTTCAAGGCCCAGCTACGCTCATAAATAGCTCTGGATCCAGGCCAGGCAGTGAGGTTGATGAGCAAGCGATTTCTCTTCCACTTGTTTTTGAGATAGTGACTTTAAAAATCTGTCTCCCACGGCCTTGCCCTCTGTGGTGCACAGACCAGACAAAAATACCCCCCAAAAAGCCGAGAGGCGGTAACCGGCCCCTAGGAAGCCTGAGGCCGACTCTGCTGGGACACGGTCGATTCTCTGCTGCTTCTGCGCCCCTTCCTCCTGCGACACATAAGAACTGTGGCCTAAGCTCATAGGAGACAGTTCATCCAAACCGTGTTTCTCAGATCCAAGGTTACGGCTGAGCTGCGGAAGGGCTGAAACGGCCCTCCAGAACAGCTTCATCCCGGGGTGCGCACAGATTGTCAGGGCTGGGAGAAACCAGTCCCACCCCTTTCCGGGAGCTGCTGTCATCCCTACCATCATGAAGCACAATGACTCTCTCCACCCACGGCTGAATACCTCCAGTGGCTAATCACCCAATCATTTTATTTCTCCATCCAACACACTTGTGTTGAGCGCCTACTGTGTGCCAGTATTGACCTATGAATGAGGATACGATGTCAGCAACTCAGAGTCTCCGCCCTTGTGGAGCTTACGGTCTCCCAAAACTCTGGGTCAAATAATTGGTAAAAATCAAAATACACCAAACTAGATCATCACTTTCCTTTAATCAACTAACCCCATAACCCCAGCAGAAAAGGAAAGGCGATTAATTTGGCTTCATGTGTTCTTGCTAAGACAATGCTGACTCCCAGAGATCACCACTTTCTCTAAAAATTAATAGGCCGGGACCTCACTGGCTGATTCCCCTGCTTACCTTACCACTGTGCGTTTGCCCTCATTCCCACTGACTGACCATTCTCTGTCCTCCCACTCTGCCCCTACCCTCCCTTTATCGGTTTCTTCCTCCTCCCTGGTCTCCATTTCAACCAGAAGGCCAACCCTCTGCTCGAGAACCAATTTATCATTAAAATAATCCCACCTAAAATGTGTAGTTCCTAATTCCAGCGAAACGAAGTGGTGGTTGGGGGGGTGGGGCTGGAGAGAGGAGCAGAGCTGTGGAGGGAAAGTTCCAGAAGGTCAGCTTCAACTTCCTTTTCACACTGTGGGAAAAGATGGCCTTGGAGGGAAGCTTTTACCTGGTCTCTGCTACTACATCTTTGGCTGTGACCAATGTCAGGGGTGCCTGGGTGGCTCAGTAGGCTAAGCATCTGCCTTCAGCTCAGGTCATGATTTCAGGGTCCTGGGATCAAGCCCCACATCGGGCTCCCTGCTCAGTGGGGAGCCTGCCTTTCTCTCTACCTCTGTGCTCTCTCTCTCTCTCAAATAAATAAAATCTTTAAAAAAAAAAATCTGCTTTCCAAAAAAATTACCTTTTAGAATCTTTAAATCCTATATTTATACCTGAAAGACTGAGTTAAAGAAAAAAAAGAAAGACCAAAAAATGCAACAAAGCATTCTTTCAAACTTATTCATTGTACACAAAACATTTCCAGGGTCCTACTTTAGTTTGTGGGCAAAGGGTGGGGTGGACAGGAAGGTTTAAAAGTTAATTAAACCAGAAAGGATTATCAAAAAGTACTTAGAGCCTGAGAAATTCTATATAAGGTCTGTTTCATGCACAGAAAACACAACCACCCTGGCAAAGTCAATGGAATTAGCCAGGTTTCCAAAACCAGCACCGTACGTTTGTAGGGAAACAATGGTTTTGATGCAAGTCTGCTATGAATAAAACTGGATTTTGATTATTGAATTTATTTCCCTCATGGTACATGTTAATTTTATTCTGTGTTTACACGGGGACATTTTTCATGGAGTCTAAATATGGACCAAAGTCAAGCTGCCTTCAAGTTCAAACCAGCTACGAGCAGCTTGTGAATCACACTTGTCCCAAAGAGGCTCTGGGGACTCTACTAGCAACTCACTTCCTTTCCCTCTTCTTTAGGAACATCCCATTCTACCCGAAGTGAAACCAGGCCACCCAGATTACACACTTTGCCCTCAATGAGCAAATCCTGGAGAAGCTCTGCAAGACAAGACTTAGGAACAAAAAGCCTTAATAAGCAGATTTTTCATTTCTAAAATAGCCGTTTCCTTAGCAGGTGTCTGAGACCAAAGTGAACGGCTGAGACAACTAGCCAGACGAATCCGGCAACTTCTGACCTGAAGTGCAGACATATCAGCTGCCGTGGCAGACGGGCAGAGGACTTCGGCGAGGCAAGGACTTTGTTACTATTTTTATTGCAAAATAACGATGCCACTTTGAGCAATTCCATGAACTACTGAAAATTCCCGTTCTTGTATCTCTAGGGTGGCGTAACCACATCTGCCCACATACCTCACAAAACCGTTCTAGAAATCAAGTGTTTATTTGCAAAGGGACTTTCAAAGTAAACATTTCAAAAGAAATACTGATATTCTTGTTTTGAAATTTCACAACCACATGGGCCTCATTAGCTAAACATTATAAAGCCCTATTATTGATTAAGAGTATTAAGCCATTTAATAAAAAGGAAATTGGGGGCTGGTTCCATTTTGATGAACACAGCAGAGTCAATCAGTCCCTAAGAGGCACATCAGGATTGTGTCACTGACTGGACAGCTCATCTGTACTGCGTTTGTTCCACAGCTGGGCAGTGTGGTACTCTGTCACATACCATCAAGGACTCTCCTGGGGATTTTCTAAATCAGGGGTCAGGAAACTATGGCCTGTGGGACAAATCTGGCCCTCCACTTGTTTTTAAAAATAAAGTTTTATTGGCACACAGCCATAACTGTACATTCACATATCACACATGGCTGCTTTCCTGCTCTCATAGTGGGCTGGAGGGGTTGCAAGAGACACCATCTACCCCTCAAAGGCTAAAATACTTATAAGCTGGCCCTGACAGAAAAAATTTTGCTAACTCCTAATATAAATCAGTAAACACAATCCCCAAATCACACTCTTACTGCAAGAAGGTTGATCGCAATGAATTCTCTTCTGGGTTCTTAACACGATGTGGCGTTATTTTAATCTATCTCACAAGAGAATTTTACCTTGCCTTTTCAGCATGTGATTTGGGATGGGTATGTGTCCCCAAGCGTCCCCACTTGACAACAATGCAGAAGTCTGCTTCACACAAGCGAGGTTGTGTGAAGGTTGTCACATCATGACAAGCACTTATTTTGATGTTAAGCCTCTTTCGCAACATGCTCTATTAACTGGGAAAATAAAAGGCACTCGCTCTCATCAGTATTTCTTTAAGACAGTAAGATGTAAGAGAGAGAGAGAGCCAAATGATATTTTTAGTCCAACTCTCTTGTTTTTCGGAAAAGGAAGGAGACCAAGTTAAATGATTTGTCTAAATGCTGAGAGCTAGACAGTAGCTGATTTAAGCTTTTCCCTCAAACACATGCTACGTTCATTATTCAGTCATTAAGGACACGTCTTTTTGGTACAGAAACACCGCCAGAGAATAAAATATCTGGTTAACCTGATGCATACTCACACGGAATGAGGCCAAAAATACTGTGTGAATAGTGGCACTTTGTGTATTAAATGAAGCAAGAGAAACACCTCACGCCCGTTTTGCTTCTATCATTATCTTCGTGTGATGAAAAACGTTATCCGCAGAACGCAAGGGTTGGGCTGACGGCCCCTCACTGACGTCAAGTCTACAAATGTCTGAGTCGAGGCAACGGCGTGTGTAAAGTGGCTACAAACTAAAGGGGAACACGCGCTGCTGAGCTGGGAGACAGACACGGGAAACCGAGCACAGCGCTTACCTCCATCTGCAAAGCTTCAGCCAATCCCCTGATGGCAAACTTGGAGGACGAGTAGGCCGTGAAGCCGAATAACCCCAGCTGTCCCGCCTGGGAGGAGACAAAGACGATCCTGCCCACGCGGCGCTCCTTCATGGTGGTGATCACGGCGCGGCTGGGGTACACGCTGCCTAGGTAGTTGACGCTCATGAGTCGCTGCAGGGAACAAAGAGCCACGCGGCAGGTGAGCAAGGTCCAAGCCTCAAGGCTGCGCTTCGTGGGGGTTCTGTCCGCTCTCCCGGTCTGAGTTCTGCAGCGGAGCCTGAGTGACTGGGAGCCGGTGGATGTGCCAAAGGAAGGAATGAAGCCGTGAGCCCGTAGGGAGCCGGGGTGCCCGTGACCTACCCTCTGAAGCCTGTCTCAGTCTAGTCTGCTATTCTCACCATGACCACAGGGACGTCTTTGCTGAAAACCGGTCAGGAGTAGTTTTCTCCTTACCAAAAGTACACCACGTCTTGAGGGTAACACTTTTTGAAAGACAGTCTTAGGCAAAAGCCCCCGAATGTTTCCTACCCTACTAGAAGATCACAAAGAGACGAGGAGAGTGATTAATAGCATAGGTTGGTTTGAAGCCTTGGCTTGACCGTTTCCTACCTATTTGATGATGAAGAAAGTCAGACATGCTACTTAGTTCTGCAGCTGAACCCAGGACTCACGCTCATACTAGCTCAGAGGGCTGTTGCAAGAATTGGACGAGGAAACACAAGTCAAGGAGAGCACAGCCCCGGGGCCGCAGGGAGCGCCTGGCAAGCACTGGCTCTTAGACTATGGTGGGTAAGAGCGCACGTAGGTACCAAGAGTCTATTTTCCTTCGTCCTGGGAACTCTTAAAAGCCTTACATTTTAACTTGGAAGTCTAAAAGTACTTGCATCAAAATGACTCTATATTAAAAGTCCTGGAAAAATACTAGATCTATCAGCCTGTGTAACCAAATACTGCGGAACTCTAAGTCAACCACAGAATGTTAACTCTACAGAAGTTACGTAGCTTTTAGAGATGGTGACCAGAAACACCAGGAGGATGGGGAAATAGTTATTCCACAAGTTTAAAAAAGCAAAGGGCATACAATACTGTATTTACACTGGGACCGTAGCCAATTCAGATATCAAATAAAAGTACGTGCACACAGGTACCAAACACAGGAAGTACAGAAAACGGTAAGTGATTGTGGGGTGCCTGGGAGGTGTAGGCGGTTGAGAGTCTGACTCTTGATTTTGGCCCAGGTCATGATCTCATGGGTCATGATCTCAGCCTCATGACAGGCTAGGCTCCGTAGGGAGTCTGGTGGAGATTCTCTCTCTCCTTCAGTCTCCCTCTACCCCTCCCCGAACTCATGTGCATGCTTTCTCTCTCCTCTCTCTCTCTCTCTCTCTAATAAATAAATAAAGGAAATTTGTAAGTGATTGTGTTAGGATGCTGAGATTCCTACCTTTCCCAAAATGTCTTTTGATATCATCACATTATTTTCATAATAAAAATGCTCTAAAAAAGTACTGAAAAAAGAAGGCATGCTGAACCCAAGTGTTAACCTCCACTCCCTTCAGAGACCCCACTAAAATCTTGGTGAAAAGATAACAATTTTTTTAAATGCTAACAACCCACAGAAGCATAGACAACAGGAAAAGAAAGAACAGCGAGAACATTTTGGAAGCTGAAAAAGAGAATGGTGGGCGACAACGAGCGTAGCAGACAGCCGAATGCTAAGCAAGGAACAGAGGAACTGAGAGCGGGCCTGCACAGAGAAGCCCCACAGGCCTGAGCAGCACCAGAAGCACCTCTGGGGGCAGGAGGCGAGGCATGGGGCTAAAACCCAGGTGTATCAGCTAAAAATCTGTTTACTTACTTATTTGTTTTTATTATTTTCTTTTGAGAGAGAGAGAGAGCATGCGGGCCTGCATGAGTGGAGCGGGGGAGGGGCAGAGGCAGAGGGAGAGAGAGACTCTCAAGCAGATTCCACACCCAGCTCAGAGCCCGACCCAGGCTCGATCTCAAAACCCTGAGATCATGACCGGAGCCTACATCAAGAGTTGAATGCTTAACCAACTGAGCCACCCTGACGCCCCTAAAAGTCTATTTAAAACATAGACAAATCCACAATTATAATCCAAGATTTCAATACCCCTCCTTCAGAAGCTGTAAGAATAAGAGGACACAAAACCAGTCAGGACATGGAAGGCCTGAACAACATTTCAGCCAACCAGACCCAACAGACACTGCTAGAACACTCCGCCCGAAACAGCAGAAACATGGTCTTCCCACGTGCACAGACACGGGAGAGGCTGCATGTTGGGCCAAAAGCAAGTCTCAACAAATCTTAAAGGAGTCAAGTCATACAAGTGTGTCTGCTAGCCACAATGGAATTAAATCAGGAATCAGCAAGGAAGTGATTTCTGGAAAATCTCCCAAATATTCAGGAATTAAATAACACACTTTTAGATCATCCAAGGGTCAAAGCAAAAATGAAAAGAGAAATTATAAAGTATCTGTAACTGAACTGAAGTGAAAACACAACATATGAAAATGTGTGGGACGCTGCCTTAGTTAGCATCACTGAGCTGGAAATCTGTAGCGTGGGTCAACTGTATTTGAAGAGGGAAGGGGCCTCAAATGCATGACCTCAGCTTCCACCTAAAAAACTACAAAAAGAAGAGCAAATTAAAACAAAAGTAAGCAGAAAAAAGGAAACCACAAAAATAAGAGAGGGAATAAAAGAAATAGAAAAGAGAAAGACAACAGAAAATTAACACAACCAAAAGCTGTTTATTGAGAAGATCCATAAAATTAATAAATATCAAGTTCTGCTGGTCGGGAAAGATAAAAGACACAAACTATCAATATCGAGAACCAGGGAGGTGGGGCACCTGGGTGGCTCAGTCAGTTAGGCGTCTGCCTTCGGCTCAGGTCATGATCCCAGGGTCCTGGGACTGAGCCCTGCATCAGGCTCTCTGCTCAGTGGGGAGCCTGTTTCTCCCTTTCCCTCTGCCTGCCGCTCTGCCTAATTGTGTTCTCTCTCTATGTCAAATAAATAAATAAAATCTTTAAAAAAAAAATGGGAGAGGTGCTATCACTACAAACTCTAGATATTAAGGGGATGAGAAGGGAATACGATGAACAGCTTGGTGCCTATCAATTCAATGACCTGGATGAAATGGACAAATTCCTTGAAAGCCACAAGCTACCAAAGGTCACTCAAAAAAGAAACAGAAAGGAAGATAAAAATGTAGAGGCACCTGGGTGGCTCAGTCTGTTAAGTGTCTGACTCTCGGATCACGAGATCCAGCCCCACATCAGGTTCTGCCCTCAGCAGGAGTCTTCTTGGATATTCTGTCCCTCTGCCCCTTCTCCCACCCCTTCTCTCGCTCTCTCTCTCTCATTCAAATAAGTATTTAAAATCTTAAAAAAAAAAAAAAGATACAAATGTAGCCCTACATCTATTAAAGACATTGAATTACAGTTAGAAAACTTTCCATAGCGATAAGGTAAGATAAGGCTTCACTGGTAAATTCTAGCAAACATTTAAGGAAGGATAGCACCAATTCTATACAAATCCTTCCAGAAAACTGAAGAGGAGGGACTATTCTCCTACTTATACAAGATGCAAGCATTACCTTTACACAAAAATCAGAAAATAACATTATAAGAAAACAAAACTCCAACTAATATCCCTCAAGACCACAGAAAGGATTAATAGCCAAGTGGGGTCGAGCCCAGGAATGCAAGGCTGGTTGAACATTGGAAACTAATCAGTATAATTTACCATATCAACTAAAAAAAGAACTCTGTGATCATCCCAACAGATGCAGAAAAAGCACCTGACAAAATCAACCTCCGTTCCTTATAAAAACTCTCTCAGCAGGGGCACCTGGGTGGCTTAGTCGGTTTGGCATCCAACTCTTGATTTTGGCTCAGGTCATGATCTCAGGGTCCTGGGATCCAGCCCCGTGTTGGGCCCTGCACTGGGTGCGGAGCGTGCTTAAGATTCTCTCCGTCTCCCTCTCTCTCTCCGCCCCCCCCACCCCTCAGTTGTGCATGTTCTCTCTCAAAAACATACAAACAAAAAACACAACCAAAAACCAAAAAAATCTCAGCAAACTTGGAATTGAAGTTTCTCAACGTGATACAGGGCATCTGTCCAAACACAACAAAAGAGAACAGAACTACCAAACATCATACTTAATGGCAAAAAAAAATGTTTTCTCCCAAGATCAGGAACACCACAAGCATGTCTGCTCTCACCACTTGTACTCTGTGCTGCACGTTCTCGCTGGTACAACAAGGTGACCAGATGGGAACAGAAAAAGTAAAACTAACGCAGATGACACGATCTTAAATGCAGAAAATCTAGACCAGAATTAATGCGAGCACTAGAATTAATAATGGACTTTAGCAAGGCTGCAAGATCAACACACAAAAATCAACTGAATTTCTCTCCAGTAGCAATGAACACTCAGAAACTAACATCAAAAATACCATTTCTAATGGCATCAGAAAATGGGAAATACAGGAAAATGAGGTGCAAGACCCATACACTGAAAATTACAGAAGACTGCTGAGAGAAATGAAAGAAAATTTAGATAAATGGAGACATATACCACGTTCGGAGGTTAAAAGGCTCGATATTGTTAAGAACCAGCTCTCCCCATGTGGATTTATAGAGGCAACGTCATCCCAATCAAAAAGTGAAAATAATTATCACTAACAACCACAAGGAGATAAAACAGGATATTGCTCTAAGAATCCACGAAGAAAACCATTAAACAGGAAAATTAAAAGAGGTGCCCTGGCGTTCCCCAAGACCACCTCCAGTTTGAGCGATTCCCGGGATGGCCTCCCGGACGTCGCACCTCATCGTACCCCTGACTCAGATTTATGGCAGCGAGAGGGCACAAAGCACAATCAGCAAGGGCAAGAGGCACCAGGGTCAGAGTCCAGAGGAAGCAGGCACGAGTTTCCAAGAGGCCTCTCCCCGGGGAGCCATGCGGCACGTGGTGAGGTCCCCCAGCCGTGAGCTGTAACCCCACGGTCAACCATCCTGTGCAGGGAACCCTTGTGATGGGGACCCTGTGAGCCTCAGTCAAGATCAAACGAGATAAGCAACAAAAACAACACAATCAAGTAAAAAAATAAGAGAGAATTCACGTTACATAAACATGACCTCTTGTCTCCAGAAAACGCATCAGACCTGGCAGTGTGGGTTCCGGCAGGACTTACGGACGAGGAGCCTTGACCAAAACACTGCAGGACCGAGACGTACAAGGGGGAGAGCCGGGGGGGCAGATGTGGGCCAGGCAGAGGGTCGCCCCCGAGTACAGTGGCCTGCTGCCTGCGTTCGGGGCAGCTGGGAAGAGGCCTTGTCACTGGGACAGAGGCCACAGGCTTTGGGTTACCAAAGTGGTCTCGCTGGGGCGGAACCACTTCCAACAGCCCCTCGTGTGCCCCTCTCCACCCCCCTGCCCCCTCACTCCGAGTTTACCCCTAAATGCCCCCATGTCACCACCTCCCGCCCGGCCTCTGACACCGTCTACCCAGCACCCTGCCACAGCAGGCACAAAGAGCCTCTCAACACCGAAACACACACCATGCCTGGCAGGGCTCAGGCCTCTTCAGAGGTTTTGAACTAAAAGCCAAATTCCCCGTGGTGGCCTTCGAGGGCCCAGGCCTTCTGGCCCCTGCTCCGCCCCACAATGCTCCAGAAGCTGACCCCTCACCCCGCAGCGCTCCTTAGCCTCCACCCCCTGCCCCATACCGGCCTCCTGGTGAGTTCACCCCCCACACTCGGTCAGGGTGAGTCTGTGGATTCCCCCTCCTTAGCTGCTCTCTCTCTGTCTCATACACACACTCCCACACACCTGACTGTGCGGGCCAACTCCGGAGTCTCAGCCGTCTTCCCCAGCTGACTCTGCACCCAGCTGCTGGAACCGGCTCCCACCTCTCCCCCGATAACCTGCGGTCAAGGCAAGCGGGCCCCGACCACCGCCTTTCATGCTGAGTTGATAAAGGGGCCGGCCGACCCTCGGGCCCCAGATAAGGCGGCCCTCTGCTCCCAGCTGCCTCTGGACGCTCCCGGCTGGACTTTAAATCAGAGAGTTCACAGCGCCTCCCCAGCCCTGCAGAAGCCCCCCAGCGCCCTCCTCTGCAAACGTGACCTTCATGGAGTAAAACATCCAAATCCACCACAGCGGATCATGAAGGAAAAGACAGTTGAGGCAACGTCCACCAAAAAACTCTCCTGGACTCTAGAAGGACGGCATAACTGCTGTCCACTTACTGAGAGCTGACAGAGATTACTAAGAGAAGGTCCCTGGCAAATCTGTTTAAAAATACAAACCAAAATAGGATGGGTTATCTTTTCGTCTTGACTTCGCAACCCCAAAAAGAGTCTGCTCTTAAACTTTGCTGGCTTACCACTGTTCCAAACCCTGATGGCTGAGGTGAGAATCCAGCATCTCTTGGCTCACAAAGAGCCTCTTGCAGAGAGGACCACGGTGAATGGTCACCATGATGCATGTCAGGCTGGGGGTCGTACAGCCGGGCGGACCAAGGTCCAGAGACATGTCTAAGCTCTTAAGGTTGGATGGTCATGGCGCTGGGACCAAAACCTTGTCCAACCTTCCCCCAGCCTTCTAAAGCTTTTAGAAAATCTGAATGCGTTTTATCTGTTTCAGTTGCAAAGCTTTCCCCTGTGGCCCTGCTCTGCTTGGAGTGTATGAGTTGCCCGATGAGCAAAAAGCAAATGGCGGGGCGCCAGGGTGGCTCAGTGGGTTCAAACTTCTGCCTTCGGCTCAGGTCATGATCTCAGGGTCCTGGGATGGAGACCCACATCCGGCTCTCTGCTCAGCAGGGAGCCTGCTTCCTTCTCTCTCTCTGCCTGCCTCTCTGCCTGCTTGTGATCTCTGTCTGTCAAATAAAGAAATAAAACTTTAAAAAAAAAAAAAAAAGCAAATGGCTACTTACCTCAAAAGTACTAACTTCAAGATCTTCAAATTTTCCTGAAAGTGACATTCCTGCACAGTTCACAAGCATGTCTACTGGGCCCAGTTTCTCCTGTGCCTAGAAAAATTTATGAGAGCAGGCATGAAGTAAAAGAAGAGAAGAATCACTTTGTAGCAAATCAATGACAACAACTATCAAAGGGACAGAGATGACTTGTCAGTTCCCAGCCACACATCAGAATGGGAAGAACCAACTGAAAGGCAAGTGAGTGAGTTCCAGCTAGCCCAACCTCTTACTTGTTTTATGACGTTCTCTACTTGGCTGTAGTCTTGAGAAACGTCAACGGATATACAAAGCACCACCTGTTAGGAAGAGGGAAAAAAAAAAATGATCAAAGCCACGCAGGTGTCTGAAAGGAATTTTTAAAGAATTTTTTTAACGTAAAGGCAATTCTTTCCAATAGCTGGGAAGTCTGGCTCTGTAGGCACAGATTGCACTGTTGGAAATCTGCTGACAGCGCAACTGTGGAGCCTAATTTTCTTGGCATTTTTCACAGAAAACTCTATTGTGTAAACTCAAAAACATGTCTTAAGAAACGTGGGTCAAAGTACACGCTTTCGGGTGTAAGATAAATAAGTTCCGGGGGTCTCATGTACAGCACACTACCGACAGGAACGAATCTGGTGCGTACGTGAGATCCCCAGAAAAGCACATCTTAGGTGCTCTCGACACACACGCGAAGTAACCGCGTGAGGTGACAGGTGTGTGAATCAACTTGACGGGGCAAGCGTTTCACGACGCCAACGTGCATCAAGTCGTCACACTGTGCCCCTTAAGTGCATACAATTTTTATCAGTTTCACCCGGAAATAGAAAGGAAAAGAAATGTAAAAAACTCCTCTGGGCACGCCTCTGATCTGCAGTGATTGACAGCAGCTCTGAGACCAGCTGCGGCCCGACGTGGAGGGAGGCCTGGACCACGAGGAGGTAAGTGGAACCCTGCGGGCAGGGACATGTTCCGTGTCTGGATTTCAGCGCCACTTTTACACACGTATACATCTGTCAAAAGCCATCAAACTGTACTCTTCACATGGGTGTGGTTTACTGGACATCAATTACAGCTCCGGCCGTTAAAAAGAACACATAAATTACATAAAGAATAAACAAAGTGTATATGAATTGCATCTCAAGTTGTTAACATCTAAGGTCGTTAAAAATAAAAACAATATATCTACTAAATAAGCTCAAAAAAATACTCCCCTTGGAGCAGTCCCCAAGCTCTGATGGCCCTGCTGGGGCTCCGCTTCGTCAGGGGGAATAGAGACAAGCAAACACCACCTACTCGCAAAAGCTACCTTAGTTTGAGTCTGAGCCCAGTGACTTTATCTTTCAAGGCCAAGGGTCCCTCCGGGCTTGTGGGATCTTGAGGTGCCTGACTCTGGACGGGCCGCCCACTCCCAGGGGTCACCAGTCAAGCCCCAGAGCCCACCCAATCCGAATGTGGCCACGCACAGGGGTTCCCAGTACAGACAGACGCCAGGAAGAGCCCAGCCCGTGCTGGCCACGGAAAAGTTCCGTTCAGTCTTTGGAAAGGAAGAAGGGAAGGAAGAGAAGAAGGAAGGGGGAGGGAAAAAAGCACTTATTTCCGTGCTTACTTGGACAAAAGTTGATAAAATAGCAGTTCAAAATACTAATGAGGACTAACAATGAGCTATTGTTTTAATTTCCCTTTTTGGATAACGTTTTCAAATCCAGAGCGTAGCCTCTGACATCGCAATGTTCTGTGTTCCAGGGGTGGGGGGTCGCGGAGAGAAGCAGAAAGGCATTTCTCCACTTCTCAGTCTTTCTGTGAGTTCTTCTTGGTGGAGACTGGCCACTGAGCTGGGGGACAGACAGAAGGACTGTGCACAGGAGGGCACGTCCACTTCCACTCACGCGCCCGTGCGTGGCTGCAAGTTGAAGGGGGTGCGGTGCGGGGGAAGGGGCTGGCGGGGGCGCGGGCCTGGCAGGCCTGGGTTCCAGTCCTGCCCCTTCACCCACTAGCTGGGCGGGACCCGAGGAGGCGGCGCTGGCCTCCCCTGCTCCGGCCAGGGTGTCAGAAGCTAGTGACCACAAAGCTCCCTTCCAGCTCTGAAAAGACGCGACGCGAGGAATAAAGCCACGACACGAGGGGGCTGCCTGACACCCTGATGCGGTGGGGAGGAAGTCTTATCTGATGCAGGAAGGAGCGACATCCAAAGGAGCCAAATCCCTAAAGAAAGGAAACGGCCCCCTTCGCAAATGTGACCTGGAATATTCCAGAGGAGCTGCCCTTGGGTTTTAATTCCTGTAACCAGGACTTTTATACGAGGCTTTTTATACAGTATTAGATCATTTACTATAAATAAAAGCTATCCCACAGATAAGCAAAATTTAAAAAGAACAAGGGGGGGGGGTTCACAAATCACCAGGAAAAACGTGTCCCCGCAGCTCTGCTTGTGCTAAACTGCACAGCGAAGCCCTTCTGGCCCGGCCCAGCCCATCCTCCCTTTCCCTGACGGAGGTGCCAGGAACTTTCCACATGACCTCAAGCCTTCTGATGGCTGAGGTGGGGGCGGGAATCTGGGCGAACGAGTCCAGGGCAGGGAGATGCTGCTGACAGCAGGCCTGGCCTTCAGCCAGGAGCACGCAAGTGCCGCAGTTTGACAGGAGACGTCTTCCTCTATCAGAACTCACATGACTATGGAAAAAAAGAAAACGGGGAGATTTGCTGAGATGGCAGCTTTCCGATGCTCTCGGGCTCCAGGGAAGGGGGCACAGAAGCCAAGGTACTGGGGAAGACGCCGCACATGGACTCGAGGAGATGCGGACGAGGACCTCTACCTGCAGCACGGGGCGCCAAAGCAGAAGACACGGCAGCCGCACCGCCCGGGGGACGACTGTGTACCAGTGGGTCCCTAGACCCCTACGGCAGTTACAAAAGGCGAGGCTGATTTATTTTTCTTGATGTGGAAGGAGCTCTCACGTATTTTGGAGGGGAAAAAGAGGCTACTAAAACTACAGTGTGGGGCACCGGGTGGCTCAGTAAGTTAGGCATCTGACTTCTGCTTTCGGCTCAGGTCAGGATCTTGGGGTCTCAGGTGGTGGGATCAAGCCCTGCACTGGGCTCTGCATTCACTCTAAGTGGAGTCTGCTTGAGATTCCTTCCCTTTCTCTCCCCCTCTGCTCCTCCCCCTGAGCTCACACAGACACTCTTTCTCTCAAATTAATAAATAAAGTACTTCTTAAAAAATAATTTAAGAAATTCAAAAAACTACAGTGAAATACCATTTAAAACCCATCCGAAAGGCAAAAATTAGTAAGCCTGCCAATACCAAGTGTTGGCAAGGATGTGAGGCAACAGGAGGCCTGGAGCACTACAGGTGGGCGTGCGCCCACTCTGCTGAAGCGGAAGATGCGTGTGCGCTGTAACTGTATCTCCACAATTCCATTACCAGACACGGCCCATCCTTGCACACATGCACAGAGACGTGGAGAAAAACTTCAGTAACAGCAAGATGTAAAACTAACCAAAAAACTGGAAACAAAATATCCACCAACAGTAGAACTGATGAACGGGACAGGTCTTCTAAATATATCCGGGAAAATGTTACATAGCAGTAAAAATGGATAAACTATGACTTTATGCAACAATGCAGAAATATCTCTAAAGCAGTCTCTAGGGAAGAAATCAAGTTGCACAAAAATACCTAGAGAATGATGTCCTACAAATCTACAGAGGCAGAAAGCAGATTAGTGATTGCCTGGCGCTGGGGGGTTGGGAGGAATGGGGAGTGACAAGGTCCCGACTTTCTTTACAGGGTGACGGGAAAGCTCTAAAGCGATTCTGGTGCAGGCTGTGCAACTCTGAGGGTAGGCGCTAAATCGTACACTTGAACCGGTGAACTGAATGGTATGTGAAGTATGCCTCAAGAAGTCTGACAAAAAAAATAAGAATGGTGCCATCAAGTTCAAAGAGAAGCAGAAATAAACAGTATCTTATTTAGGGTTATGTGCACCCTCTAGAGAAACTATGAAAAGAGCAAAGGATGAATCAACATATAAATCAGGTTGGGGGTTGCCTCTAGAAATGAGACCAGAGGATATGGGCAGCTGATATGGGCTCCCAGAGGGCGCTCCGGGGGGCCCAGTACTTCTCATTTCTTAAGCTGGGTGATAAGTGCCACAGTAACTTGTTATTATGTTTTATACTGAATGATACATATATACATACACACCATTTTATTCATCAGAAAATACCATAACCAAAAAAATAAATGTAGTGCCCCTTTCCCCTTAAGTGTTTATATGAAGTTACCTTAAATAAATAACTGAAATAAAATCACTTCCTAGAAAAACATTATTTGATCATTGGTGCGTGTAAATCAAAGTCTGTACATTTTAGGTAACAACCTAAACTCGAAGACAATTCAAACGACTTTGCTTTTTAAAAAACTGTCTAATATGTATCTTAACTAGGAAAATCCTCCCTGCTTTACATGAACTATTTGCAGTTCAAACAACATTTTTCTTCCCTCTACACAGCTGCGCTGATTAGTTCAGAAAATGCATCCCGAAGACGGATCATACCTGTTTATCATTAATAGAGTGCTTTTCAATTTCTTTCTTTGCCTGCAGCAGCTTGTCCTGAAAGCAACAGACAACAATTAGTTCTGGTGATTGTCTATTTGTCTGCTTGTTTGTTTAAATGGGGCAAAAAAGCAATTATTTGTGTAAGTATTTATTAAAGTGCAGAAAACACTCAAGACAGCCTCTGTACTGTACAGCTATGGGCCACAGGGTATGAAAGAAAGGAGCTGTAAAGCTATGTTCGGCTATGATTAAGTGACAGCAAGGGTTTTCTGAAAGATAACAGAAAAACAAATGAACTGCAAAATCCCAATTAACAGTACTAATTGCTGATGGGCACCATCTCAATGCTAATGAATGTTTGGATCTGACATCAGTGAGTGTGACATAAACCAAGAACCCCCACCTGGCCCTGCTATATCCTGGGATCCCACGTCAAGCGTGCTTTTGTGAGAGTGTCCGATATCTTCCTCCTCTCCCATAAAAGCAAATATACTAAAAAATCACTCTTTTAGATAGATGGAGGAAACCTAATCCTGGCTACTTTCCGAGAGTAATCCTAAACAAGAAAAGCCATCCCGTAACTGAGAGATTCCTCCAAGGTCTCAATTTTGCTTGTCTGGCTCATTTTTCAAGAAGAGAGATGTATCAGTTGGCAGTTCATTATTTGTTCTAAAAGTTGTAATTTAAAAACAGGGGTGCCTGGGTGGCTCAGTGGGTTGAGCCTCTGCCTTCGGCTCAGGTCATGATCTCAGGGTTCTGGGATCGAGCCCCGCATCGGGCTCCCTGCTCAGCAGGAAGCCTGCTTCTCCCTCTGCCCCTCTTCTTCACTCATGCTCTCTCAATCTCTCTCTCAAAAGTAAATAAACAAAATCATTAATAAAATAAAATGTGACATTTTCCTTCCCATAAAGTGGCTTTAATGCCAAAGCAAATTCACTGTTAGAGATGTCAGGATACAAACGGGAAGTAGCAATTCTGCCTTTCTTGATTTTAAGAAGAAATTATGAACATTGAAGCCTAATTCTGTGCCAATATTTAAACATTTCCCCCCTTCCCGAGGTGCTCCTGGGTAGCTGTGTACCCCCACCTGAGTAGTCGGTCACCCCACTGTTGCCCTCCTTTGGCATATGAGAATCTGAAGTCCCCTGGCAAAGATGCCACACAGGCGTCCCCATTCCTTCCACCAGCCCTCCCTTCATGTCTCCATCCACAACTCTGTTTTGAGCACCCGCCAGGAGCCAAGCATGGCGCCAGGCACGGAACAATGGCAGGTGGCTGACAACACAGCCATCGTCGTCTCCCCCACTGTGCCTCCCCCCGCCTCCCCAGAGCAAGAGGACTCCACAACTGTTCGTGTGAACACAGTGTCATTGCTTTGGCTGTGGAAACAACTTTAGCAAGAATAACAGACCCTGGGGGGATAAAAAAGAAAGAAAGAAAGAAAAGAAAAACAGACCTTGTGTTGACTTGACACAGAAAAACACATGTTTTGCTACAGTGCTGGGGAGCAACAAGAGTCCCTGGTGGAGTGTGGGTTTCATTAGAGATGGACATCATCTGGATAATAAGCAAATTCCAGAGAGACACCTACCCGTCCTGATCAGGACGCGGCTATCAGCCCTGTGATCGGCCCTGCCGCCTCCTCCTGGCAGGTGGACGCCCTCCCTGGCTCCCTGAGGCCTCTCCCACCCAAAAGTGCAGAGCCTCCCATGTTGCCTAACAGTCGGTGAAACTAAATAAATATTTGTGAAGCTGGCCTGGCTTCAACTGAGAAGTCTTTGCCCCGAATAGGAGAAACAACCAGTGGTTCAAAAATCACACCTGGAACCAGAAATCCAAATCCCAGGACTCGGGCACCGCCTCTCCCACAAATCTAAAGCCGAATAAGGAAGTGGGTAATGACACACCCAGAAGACTTACCTCATTCCGTGCCACCAGAGTTATGAACGCTCCTTGCTTATAGCACTCGATAGCGATACACTTTCCAATACCACTGGAGCCCCCTGTAACCTAAAAGCAAAAATAATCAAATCTTCTTAGCTCTCGAAATTTCCCTTCTCGTTCATTTAAAGTGACAATGGGCTCAAAAACCCAATCTACGAGAACCAGACTTTTAGTGATGGTAGTTTCTTCATCCCAGACTTCACAAAAGAAGGGCAAATATGGAAGATGTCACTGTTAGTGGGTCCTGCTGCTGACTGTTTTCAGTACCGAGCTATTAACTGCACACCTATGTTTTTCTGCAGTCACTGGAAGGAAAGTGCCCTATAAATTGAGCTAATAAATAATACATTAGTCTACCTCTGGGTCCAAATTCAGATGAATCTTATTTCCTTACTGCGTATCTTCTGTATGACTACAAAAGAGATGCAAAGAAGAGCCACCTGCACAGATCATCTAATATTTTACATGACTGCTTATTATAAAAGAAATATATGATCACATGGAAATATTAAAAGGTAAAATCTTCCTTCTTGTACTATTCTGCTCCTCACAATCTAGCTCAGCCCTACTGGCTGTCTTTGAGTTCCATGCCCCCTCCAACCACAGGGCCTTTGCATATTCTACTTCCCTGCCAGAAATGCTCTTCTCCCCTCCCTTCATCCAGCTGGCTCCCATTCACCCATTAAATCTCAGCACAGGGGCACCTGGGTGGCTAGGTCGGGTGAGCACGGTTCCGGCTCAGACCATGATCTCATGGGTCCTGGGATCCAGCCCTGCTTTGCCGGGCTTGGTGCTCAGCAGGCAGTGTGCTTGAGATTCTCTCTCTCTGCATGTTCCCCCCCACCCATCAAATAAATAAATCTTAAAAAAAAAAAAAAAATCTCAGCTCAAACATCACTTCCTCAGGAAAACCTTTACTGACTGCCCCTTCCCTAACTACAACCCACCTTCTAGCACTGCATCCTTTTTCCTTTATGGCACTTACATACTCAAACAGCCATGCATTTATTTGTGTAATTATTTGATTCATGGCCATTTCTCCTATCACTGCCTCATAAATGCCAGAAAAATACCATCTCCATTTCTGCTCCCACTATATCCCTAGCACTTAAGAGGACAGTGCCTGGCAAATAGGAAGGGCTTGATATACATTTAACTTCATAAGACAAATGCAGTTATTATCTTTCTAGTCATTTTTCCTTTGAAATTATATATTATAGGGGAAGAGAATGGGGGCCCAGCATTGTCAGGTGAAGGGAGTGGGGAAGTGTCAGAGAGGCATCTGACCTTACATGGTATCATATCCTACTTTAAAAATATATATATCGGGGCACCTGGGTGGCTCAGCTGGTTAGGCGTTTGCCTTCGGCTCAGGTCATGATCCCAGGGACCTGGAATCAAGTCCCACATTGGGCTCCGCGCTCAGCGGAGACCTTGATTCTCCTTCTGCCTGCTGCTCCCCCTGCTTGTGTGCTCTCTCTCTCTCTCTCTGACAAATAAATAAAATCTTTAAAAATAAATAAACAGAATAGAATAGAATAGAATAGAATAAAAAATACGTATCAAAATGTTTTATGTCAAAAAACTAAAAGGCTTCACTATATTACATCAAGGAGTGGTACTAAAACTTAGTTGACGATTTCCCTCTAACAGACATTCGGATTATTTCAAATGTTTTACTGTTAGATATAAATCATGCTGTAATGAACATCCTTGACCCCATCTCAATGATTTTAAAATTATCACGAAGCCACTTCTATACAATGTACCAGTCTCCATGGATGCTGAGGGTCCCCTACTTCTCTTTAGCCTCAAGTCCTCACCACTGAAGAGACCTCCTTGGCAGGTAATTAACCAATTATCTCCAGAAGGTTACTGTAAAAATCTACCCGCTGCCCCAGCCAACAGTTGCCTCTGAGGAGCTCTTTGCTGCTGAGATATTTCACGGGTGGCTTTGGCTTTTGAAATTTCACCAGACATTCCCATTCCACAGCAATTAATATGCCCCTGGCTGTCGTATGATGGTGTTACTGCTGCCTCGATGTCCCTCCACCCAACATCCCCTGCATACCTACCTATCCAAATCTTACCTACCCTGCAGAGGCCAGATCCAACGTCCCCTCCTCCAGGAAGCCTTCCTGAATCTGTCACTCAGTCCTGTCCTTTACCTGTCCCTTTCCACTTTGTGTAACCATCTTAGCTCCGTGACCAAACTGTAAGCTCCTTGAGGATGAGCACTGAGTCCAATCTATCCCCCCTACTCTGAGCACAGAACCTGGCATAAGCCGTTGCGAAATGAGCACTCAGCCAACATTAATTTCCAAGAGTGGTGCAATGGTACCATTTCTCTGAAATAGACAATGGAAAGATTGGAAGTAAAGTTTCCCTGTTACTCAATAAATTAATGGAAGCTGAAGTTGTAAGGTTATTGAGAAAACCTACATTCTCTAAAGTGCTACTGCTGTGATTGCTGTCCTTTTTCTAGACCGTGACAGGTAAGCTGTGTCCACGCACTGCACAGACGAGAGACTGTTCAACCTGATCACTTCTAAGTCTTCTCCTTAAGAGCAAGGGTAAGGCTTCTATCTTTCGGTCCTAGCTTGTGAGAAACTAACCTTCTAATTAAGCTAATGCTTAAGCATCTAAGACTATCTAAGAGTATACATCAGCCAAGTCTAGGCTGTGCTATTCTGAATGGCAGAACAACATGGAAGAGATTTTCCAAAGGGCTGAGAAAAGTGGGAAACACGGACGGAGTTGCCTGACAACTGGCAAACTGGGCCCAGGTGTTAAAGAAAACAGCCTAATTTCCTTTCCTTATCATTGCCTCTTACGATTCAATGCAAAATATCATTTAAATGTTTCTATCTCTTTCCTCACAGCATACACCTGTTATTGAGGACAAGAAACAGGGTGGTTTGCATCAAGAACTGCTCCCAGTCATCTCCAAAAAAGGAAGGACCTGATTTTCCAGTTCTCCCCAAGTCGATTAAAAAGGTTTTTAAACACAAGTACATACCCTGTAAGACTCCTGCAGTATCACCGCTGTCATTAGGAAGATAACACTAGTATATGCGAGCTGTTCTAAATAGAAAGCAATAATTGTGACCTAAGTCTGTTCATGCTTTCACATAAGGAGACATTCGAAATGTTAGCTCCCTCTCCTAACACCACCTGGTCCGGTCCTAACAACTCTCAAGAAAAAGAATGGCGCTTTCCCTCATCTTGTGACATTAAAAAAGAAGACAGATGGTGACATCATGTGAATTATTCATGTCATCCTCACATTATTTATAGTGGCGCATTAAAATGGGATGGTGAAAATAAGAAATTCTTCTTAGTTTACCCCAACAGACTCATTATCTTACTCAGGGCCTGCGGCACAATGAAGCGAGAAAGACTGGAGTCAAGGTTAAGTGAAACTCCCTTATAAATACTGAATCGAAATGTTCACTCCTGCTTTTGGCTTTACATTTTTTTCCAAGTTACGTTCTGCAAACGTAACTTCTGCAAGATTTCAACTTTGAGAGCCATGCTTCTGAGGCAGAAGTTCTCTTGGAGATGTGACACTTTCAGAATTTGGCCTCCGTGGAAAGTCTGGCTTCTCTCTCTTTCTAAATGAATTTACACTAACCTCATGCACCCTGCACATCAGCAACAGCAGGAGCAGAACCATGTAAAGAAAAATACGTTTCCTCATTCACAAACGTCCGTCCAGATCTAAAGCACTAAAGTAAATGACCAGTCCAGCCTGGTCAGCTCGGCAGGGAGGCTCCGTCTCCACAGGCACCGGGCTCCCAGACGTCCCCTCTGGCAGGATTCCTGCCGCCCGCTTAGTAACTAACTCTCCTTATTCAATCACCGCCCACCTCGGTGTGCCTCGGGCCGGTGAGATCCGAATAAGAAAACCGATGCGAAAGCCACAGCAAGTGGCAAAGTGCTGCGCGCAGGTGAGAAGGAAGGTGCGGACACCTGCAGAAAAGGGATCTCTGAAGACACTCGCTTCCGGTAGGAAAGGACCCAACCCCACCCACACCTCCCGCATCCCTCCCGCTCTAGCAGGTCGGCGAGCTCGTCCACCGGACTCCGAAATGATGGCCTACCCGGGGGCTGAGCTCCGACAGACCAGCCGTGTAGACGGGACAGAAGCGTCCCGACACCGTCGAGCCGGGACCGCCAGCCCCCTGCGTTCCGGGCGGTTTTCCCCCCCAAGGTGAGTCACTTCCTGGATTCCTCTGGCAACTGCTCTTTCTGTCACTCGCACAGGCCGTCTTCCCGTTCCGAGCTGCCTCGGTGGGTCCCGGCGGCTGGGTGGGACCCCTGCCCTGCCGCCCGCCTCCCCGCGACCCGGCGGGGACCGCGCGCCTCGCCCTGCGCGGCCACCGACCGCGGTGTCCTTGGCAAAGTTTCTCAGCCTTGCCGCTCCTCGGTGGACTCTTCGGGAGAGCCGAGCGCAGCAATATCCACATCCCACGGGGGCCCCGGGGGTTAGCGAGCGGCTCCCGAGCCCCCGGCGGCCCGCTCTCCCGCCCCGGGGAGGGCCAGCTGCGGCGGAGGGCGGGGCCCCGCCGTCCCCCCGCAGGGACGGGGCCGGGCGGCGCGGCGGCAGGTGGCCCTCGGCGGAGAGAGGGACTCGGGCGGCTGGGCCTCGGTCGCGGGCCGGCGCGCCAGGGGGCGGGCTCGGGGCGGCCGAGCGGGCCGGGCGGCGGCCGCGGCGGCGGCGGCGCAGCAACAGGAGGCCACTCACCACTACATGCGCCCCGGGCAGGGCGAGGGGCTTGGGGCTGATGAGCGGTGACACCATGTAGAGCAGCAGCACGAACGCCACGAGGAAGGCGGCGGCCAGCAGCAGCATCGCTCGGCGGGGCCGGGCCGGGCCGGGCCGGGCCGGGCCGGGAGGGCAGGCGCGCGGGGCTCAGCGGCGCGGCGATCACGCGCGGCCGCGCGCAGCAGGAGCCGCTGTTTGGGTTCGCGGCAGGCGCGGGGCGGGGCGGCGGCCGGAGGGGAAGAGGCGGAGCCGGCCGAGGGCGCGACCGCGGCGGGGCGGCGCTTCCCGGAGGCGGGGGCCGGGGCCGCGAGGCTGGGGCCTGTGGTAGAGCTGCGGGACCCGGCCCGCGACCTCCGGGCGGACGGGGTGTCCCCGAGCGCGGGGGCGGCGGGGCCCCGGCGGCGCCACCTGCCAGCGCCTCCCGAAGGGCCCGGGCGACGCTCAGGGGTGGGGTCGGGGTGCTTCTTAGGACCGCGGAGGCCGGTTTCCAGGCCTCCCCAAGCCGAGTATGGGGGTGGGAGCTGCTCGGGCCCCGGTTTCGCGCTCGCGCCGGGCGGCCGCCGGAGCCGGGGAACGCGATCCCGGGCGCTCGAAGCCGCGGCCTGGGGCCCGGCAGACCCTGTCGCAGTGGGGAGCCCTGAGATCAAGCCGACCGCCCGGCTCCATGTCAGCCTTCTAGGCGTGCTCCGAACCGTGGTCACAGCCCACGGTCGCGTTTCAGAGGACCGAGAAAGCCTTACCGTGGAGCCTAAAAAGCCACTCGGATGGAATTTCCTTGAGCTTAAGAGTCCATCCCCGTTCCCAAGGCTGCGTTCAAAACAAAACAAAGCACATCTTTATTGAGATCTAATTCACATCCCATACAATTCACCGATTTAAAGCGCACAATAAACAGTTTTTAGTACGGTCACAGACTCCTGCAACCACTACCACAATCAATTTTAGAACATTTAGTTACACCCCCCACACACACCCCCAAATACCTTGCATCCATCTGCACCCACTCCCTGGTTCTTCCCAAGCCCCCGCCCAGTCCTAGGCTACCACCCATCTTTCTGTCTCTAGGTTTGCCTAAGCTGGGTATTTCATATAAATGGAATTCCGCAATATAGGCCTTTTCTGTCAGGCTTATTTCACTTATATTATTTTCGAGGTTCATGCATGTTGTACAATGCAACGGCCCTTCATTCTTTTTATCACCAACTTGTATTCCCTGGTATACCACATATCATGTTCACGAACGGATGGACAGAGAGGCTCTTTCCATGTGAGGGCTATTAGGATTTCTACTGCTGTGAACATTCATGTACAAGATTTCAGGTGGACATTTGCTTTCATTTCTCTTGGATCTACACCTAAGAGCAGAATGGCTGGATCTAGGGTAACTGTGTTTAACCAGAGCTGCCAGACCTTTCTATTCTCGCCCACAACGTATGAGGGTTCCGGTTTCTCCACATCCCCACCAACACTTGTTACCATCTGTCTTTTTCATTATAGCCTTCCTAGGGGGTGTGACGTTTCCTTCTGGTTTTGATTTGCATAAGGAACATCTGTTTGTTTGCCTGCTTGCTTTTCCCTTCTGTTGTTGTTTTTAGAAACAAGCAAGAACTCAGGGGCAAATTGATCTCATTTTTTCTTCTTTCTTAATTTATTGCCCAGAGTTAGGCAAATGACAAGGCTTGAGGGCACAGTCCCCAAGACTTCTGACACCAATTACGAATTTGGGGGTTCCCCTCAAAATGCAAAAAGCAAAAATTAAAGAAACAAATTTGGGGGTTCCCAAACCACCTTCACTTTTGATAATTCTCTGGAACACCTCACAGAACCCACAGAGAGCTGTTATTCTCGTGGTTGTGGTTCATGACAAAGTCAGCTAAGGGAAGAAGTACAGAGGTCAAAGTATGGAGGCCTCTTGTTGCCACCTCCCATGGAGTCAGTACAGGTGACCCTCCCAGCATGGGTGTGTGATAATAGCACCGAGTACTGCAAACCAGGGAGGCTCATTTGGTGTCCAGAGTGTTTATTGGTATTTCCAGCGTGTAAGTACAATTGACTGCACATATGGCTGAACTCAGTCTTAGAAGGTCAACTAATGATACGACCTTCCACCTAAATCACATGGTTGGTCTTTCTGGCAGGATCAGCCCCCACCTCAAAGTCCAGACTGGCCTACCTCATCTTAACAAAGGCACTTCTATCCGCTGTGGCACAGATTACCTCCAAGAAGCCAAAGACAAAGGCTAGAACTTCTCTTCCGGCAAGCCTAGATTCTTGACTACACAGGCCACTCCCTGGCCTTTATCCAAAGCTCTCCTACAGCAAAACAAACACATGCCCTAACATTTGGAGGAGGTAGGGTAGAGTAGGAGGCTCTTAACTCAATTTCCCAATAGATTTGACCAACAATATCAGTAGTGCAATCTTCTTACCTTCACTCCTATAAGACAGTGCCAGTGTTACACCATATCACAAGATGGGCTGTAGACATAACCCGAAAAATAAGAGCCAAAAGATAGTGGCCTGTCACTGGAATGTCACTCAGTCATCAACAACTGGTCCAGCTCATCATCATGTCACATGTCTCCGAAAGTCATCTCATTCAGATTTGCAGGTTTCCATTCAACTCTATCAGTTTCTAGAAACAGGGGTGCTCTCCACCCCCTAAGACATCCGGTATAATTGAGCTTTCATAGGAGACAATATCATCTCTTGCTGTGAGCCTCCTTCAAGGTGTTGATGTAACTCTGGATTATGTTTGTCGCATAGCCCATTTATTTGTTCTTTTACCCTCAGCTACTAGTTCTCCTTCTCTCTATTTGTGACTTATTTTTACCCAGACTTTCTCGCAATGGAAGGAAGGCCAGGTTCAGCCTAGTTCTAGGCTATTCCAGACTCCTAGCACTGCTACTAATTGAGCAAATGCCTCTCCCTCGGTCCATTCCCATTCATATGGGGGAAGGTAACAGAGGTGCACAACCTGTGGGCTTTCTCAACCAACCACCACACAACACATCTGTGTTCGCTGTCAACCCCAATTTCATCAGATGGAGGGAAGGCGTAACCATCACCCCCATTAATATCTTGGAAGTCTAGTATAAAGGTTTAAAAATAGAGTTAGAGTTTCTTGCTTGGGGATCATCCTTGATTCTACCACCTGAATTTGAAGCCCTGGCCCTTGAGATCACTGTATCAGGGAGAAAAAGAGGAAAGTTGAGGCAATGTGGAGAAAAAAAAAAAAAACCAAAAGTATGGTCATACCATCTTCTCTCCATGGGAAGAACTGCGTAGTCGCACCAGCATTCTCCCTCACCCTCTCCAGATTCCCCAGAAGAGTGGAGAAATCTATCAGAGTGGGCAACATGTTCAGGAAGACATAGACGTCAGCCATTCATGCCTTTATTTCTTCCTCCCCATTTTCTTTACTTTTTTCTTTTCTTTTCTTTTCTTTCCTTTTCCTCTTCTTTTCTTTTCTTTCCTTTAACATTTATTTATTCATTCCAGAGAGGGAGAGCACATAGGGGTGGGTGTAGGGACAGAGGAAGAGAGAAACTTAAGCAGATTTTCTCTAAGTGTGGCGCCCAATACGGGGCTTGACCTCACGACTCTGAGATCATGACCTGAGCAGAAACCAAGATTCAGATCAAGATTCAAGATTAACTAACTTTGCCACCCAGGCGCCCCTCCCTCCCCCACTTTAGACAATAAATGTTTCAATTGCCTGTGCTGATTCTCTGTCAGACCTTTACTCAAGATGATATGCAACATGATTCGTCCGCCTGATGTTATCTCTTTGCCCGTGGCTGGACACTGTGTGCTGAAAAGTGTGTTCCTTGGTCTGAAGACATGGAAGTGGTGGTCCAAGTTGTTATGATATCGTCTAGTCCAGTCCTTTTATCATATTTTGACATTTGCTCCTAACTCTAGGCCTGCAAAATCCAATCCAGAGTGTGTCTCTTCCTGTCAAACCACATCTGTAACTTTCCAGGGCTCCCAGCATCTGTCCAGGTACCAGCTCTGTGTTTTCCCCAGGGAATCTGTTCCACAGCCATCTGCAGCCTCTGTCAGTTTGGGTGGCCCACAAAAAGGGTCTCATTGGCATCTCCAGAGGGTACAAGAGGACAATGTCTAGACTCATCCCATCTCTGTGTTGCTGCGCCACTCCCCACCCCATCCCCATATCCATTCATGCCATGGACCCAGGTGGCCAACCCAAATAAGCACAACAGGATAGTCACCAGCTGGTTCCAATCACCTCCCAGTCCTAAAAGAAGGTTCTTCTAATGAACAGTGACATGCCCTCCTTTGATGTTCCCCTTGATGGCCCTAGTGATTTCCATAGGGCAGTGCCCCCTACAGCATCCCTTGAACAGAGGGAAGTTTTCCATTGCTCTTTTACTTAACCACATGGCCAAGACATTAGCCATTGCCCATGAGTTGGTTCAAAACCCAAACATACGGGTCACACCACATAATTCAGCTCATTGGACTGATCTGTTCTCATCTTCTTCTATCAGAGCGGCGGCCTCCAAACATCGTGTGATCTATACACCTTGAGACTGACCTCTGTAAGCCAAGCAGTTCTTTTTTGGTCCATAGAGAGCTGTTTGTAAGGCACTGCCCAAGGGCCTACAGATCTAGCAATTTCTCAGGTGGTTCCAAAGTCAGCCTTAGGGGAAAAGATTCTACCTGCTTGTGAACACATATGCACGTCCTTGTCCCCTGGTACCATGTTCCTGCAAAACCAGCTCCACTGTATCATGGAACTCGTCTAGACATTGCTTTTTCCATGAGACTGTTTCTCTGACATCACCTGAGACATTTTATGTATTTCAGGTTTCCAGATTATTTTATGTCCTTCAGTCAACGGGGCGGTTTCAGTTAATGTCCCCTGGCAAACTAGTAATTGGCTCTGAGATGGAAATCCTCTGTCCGAAGTCACAGCAGTCATTGATAGGGGAAGCTCACAGCCTTTTGCCATAAGCCCCAGTGTGAGTAAGGATTCTAGGACTTCATTCTTTTTTTTTTTTTAAGATTTTATTTATTTATTTATTTATTTGACAGAGCGATCACAAATAGGCAGAGAGGCAGGCAGAGAGAGAGGAGGAAGCAGGCTTCCCTC